AATTTAAAAAAAGTAGATTTGGGAAGAGAAACCATGATATGGATAGATATGAATATCCAAACACTCCAAATGTAATATAAGAATACATTTGAAAAAACAGAACCTCAAAACAAACACATTGGGGGATGCAGCTACAGCAGCACCCGGAGGAAGATGCGTAGCCGATGGTGAAGACTGGTGTGGAGGGCCTGGGGTGGGGCAGGTGGGGGTCATGAGAGGCTTTCTTTTATTTTTTTACTTAGTCAACAAACACTAATTTATCTCCAGGGCACTAGAGAGCCATGGCAGGCTATCAACAGGTGGGGTTGGCATTAGGGAGTAGGTGGGAGAGGGGGAGACTGGGACAGGAGTCCAGGACAGAGGACCATGGAGGGGGTCTTGAGCTAGGGCAGGCACTGGGGAGACAGAGAAGGGATGGGCCCTGGGGACTGAGACGGACTATATGAATATGAGGGATCATAAGCTCCCCAGGGTCACTTGTTCCTGTGAGATTCAACATGCAGCAGATACAGGGCAGGGTCAGGGCCTGGCCTTTGATTGGGTCAGCCCAGATCACATGACTGAACCATTGCTACAAGGGATTCTGGGAAACTGAGTTCCGGTAGTTTGGGCTTCTCCAATGGAGGCTGGTTTAGGATGGGGACTTCCCCAAGCTTAAAAGATCTGCTGACACTGTGTGGCCAAAAACAAGAAGTCAAATGCCCCACTGGGGATTATCAGGAGCCCATGGGGCTGGGCTGTGCCACCTGCCAGGTGTGTGATGCAACTGGCTTCCCCGCCCCCCTGCCCACAGCCCTCCCTGGCTTCCATAAACACAGAGTGTGCTGAAGCTCTCCCCTCAGCCCCCAGGGTCCTTCGGGCCTCTTCCTGTCCCCTCTCCAACCTCATCTTCTTTCTCCCACATTTCCTTGGCTACATTTGCTCCTACTCTGGCCTCCTGCCTGTCCTCAGATGGGCAAGCCACTCCCACCTCAGGGCCTTTGCACCAGCTACTCCCCCAGAACCTCCCATGGCGGGCTCCCTCCTCTCTTTCAGGCCTCTGCTCAGATAACACCTTCCCAGAGACACCTGCCTTGACCTCCCCTGCTGCGTCCCCACTGTCATCTTACCTCCTTTATTTTCCTTCAAAAATCCTTGTTGAAACATCACCTCCGTGAGGGAGGGAACGTGGCTGTATTCTTCTGTACCCCCAATAAATGCTCAGTAAATAACTGTTTCTAGTTCCTTTTAGTTCTCTGGGCCTCTGCTTCTCTAACCACCAAGGAGGCCTTTGCTAATCTGACCTTGCTGGGAAGGGGCAGGTAGGTGCGGAGATCAGGAGTGGGACCCCAGGGACATTTCTCAAGCATTCCTTCCTGTCCCTGCTCCCCACGTCAGGAGTCTGGGGAGAGGAGAGGCTCCATTCACCCCCCAGAGCTCAACTGCCCGGGAGCCTGGGAGAGGCCAGGGAGATGCCCGAGGAGGCGGAGACCCCAGCAGGAGGGACGAGGAGGGCAGGAACCCCCTTCTCCATTGCTTTCCTGGGGAGGCTCCTGGCTCCTCAATGCCGTCCCCACTTGACAGAGCCCCTCCTCAGCCCCTGAGGTCCCGGTCACCACTGGGCTGCCCCAAGGTCCTGCTCCAGCTCCACAGCTCCACTCCAGTGCGGGGTGACAGGCTCTGCCCAGCCCACCCTTCCCGGGCATGGGTGCGGCCACCAGCGGCCCAAGGCTGCCCTTGTAAGGAGGCACGGCCTGGGGACACCCGAGACACCGGGTTATAATTAACCCAGACACGTGGCGACCACCCCGACACCTGCCACCCGACCCCCCCAGCACCCCAGGCCTCTGCCCGGCCTCCCAGAGGAGACAGCAGAGCTGGCCCTAAAAATAGCTCCTCTCCGAGCTGGCCTGTCCCTCACTGTCCCTTCCCCAGTGGAAATCTCCCAGTGACATGGCGGGGGAAGGGTGGCCACCTCTGCCAACCCACCCTGAGTGTGAACCTGCAGGTCAGCCCACAGCTGGGGTCCCGCCCTCTCCGTGCCACCCAGGGGAGCAGCGGGCGTCCAGGGTCTGCCCTGGCGTCCAGGTGTGGCTTGGGCCTTCCTCCTCCTGGGTTGGTGGGTGGGTGGCAGGAGGCGAGTCGCCGCTCTCTGGGGCTCCGTGTCCTCTGGCTCACAGGGTCCCCGGCTCTCCTGAGGCCACCGCTTCCTCTCCCCAGGTGCTGGCCCAGGACGCGTGCTGAGGACCAGGGCTGCCCCTGGCCAGGGTCAGGGCTGCTGGGGGCTGAGTGGGGACCCAGGAGGGGCCTGGCGGTTGCAGCAGCTTCAGGGGCCAGGGGAGACTGGCTTCTACGTGCCGGGACATGGGCAGTCACTGTCCCATGTTCCTGGCGGGGGGCCAGCTGTCCCTGCCAGCCCGACTCAGCACTTGATCTGGGGACCGGCTTGGCGATGGGGGGCCGGGCCAGCCCGGGGACAGCCCATACAAGGCCATGGGCTGGGCGAGAGGCACGCCTGGGTCCAGGGTGGGCACGGCGCCCGGGCAATGGGGTGAGAGGCTCCGCACCTCCAGGCCCCCTCCCTAGGGACAGCCCCTCTATATAGGGCCGGAGCTGCAGGCCCCTCCCGGGTCACAGTCGCCTGCAGGACACAGAGAGCCCCTTCAGCCCAGCCCAACCAGGTACTGCCCGGGGAGTCAGGGTGGCCACAGCGGGGTCCCCGGGGGCCGGAGGCGGCCTGGCTCTGGAAGGGCCTGTGTCGGGCTCCCCTGGGGCGGGCTGGCCGTGAGGGGTGGACGGGGGCTCCAAGTCCTCTCCGCCCGTGGGCCCGCCTGTCCCCACTGCGACTTGATATTCCTGCAGCAGGAGCTGTGGGGCAGGGGGAGGGATCCCCGGGGACAAACCGGGTCTGGACAGCTGCTCACCGTCACCCCCTGCAAGGCGCGGGTGGCCCAGGCCTGTGTGCATGACAGTCTGTCACCAGAGCTGGGCGCCCGGCCCCAGGGGGCGTCTGTGTCTGCATGTCACCTGTCGGGGCTGCTAAAGCAGGTGCTGGGGGCGCTTGGGTGGCATGGGCTCCCGTGGTGTCCCTGTGACCTTGTGCCTGACTTCTGTGACTCTCCTTTGCATGCCTCTGCCTTGGTGTGGCCCCAGCCTGGAGGTGTGACAGTGGACCTCGGTTTCCATGAGATCTGGGGTGTCCCCTGGGGGTCACTACCTTGCCTCAGCTCCCCTGGGGTGTCCCTGGCAGGGATGGGGGTGGGGACACCCTCAGAAGGGAGGTCTGGGCTGGAAGCCCGGGATGTCCTTGAGCCCGAGGCCAGCATGCTGTCCTCCGGCCACGCTGGCCCACCTGTCCTGGGCTGCTGACGGGGTGCAAGCTGAGACCTGGAATGTGGGGGTGGGGGGAGCTGGGGTGGAAGCCGGAGTCCGCCAGGTCCTAAAAATAGCCACCCTGGACAGCAGTGCCCAGGACTTTGGCGGGTCCCCGCCCTCCGGCCCCACCCCTACCCTCACCTCACTGGCCTCCACCCCCTACCTACTTCCCGTTGCTGCCCTCCACCATCTCTGTGGAGGGTCCCTCTTCCTTCCAGGGTCTAGCGAGCCCAATAACACTAACAATCGCAGTCCCAGGGGCCCACTCCACGCCAGGGCTTGGCCACCCCAGTAGGAGGGCTCCACTCAGAGGAGACCAAGGTTCAGAGAGGCCTATTGATTGTCCTGAGGTCACACAGCAGGGAAATGGTATAGGTGGGATTTGAACTCTGCTCTGCTGACCCCAAGGTTGAACTTTTCTCTCTGACTGAGCCCTGCAGAGTTGGCGGCTGGCAGAAGTGGGGACAGATGCCCAGCACCCCCACCCCCTCTCCTCATCTTTTGATTGAGGATCTTCATGAAGTCCATGTCCCTTCTCTGCTTACAACCTCATTCCCAGCTACGCCCTCTCCTCCGCCTTCTCAACAGGCTCCACGCAGACCTGTACATAGTAACAACAGCCAAACAAAAGTAGGTGTGCGGTGTGCCAGGCCCTCCCAAGAGCTTGACCTGCATTTAACTCATTGAATCCTTTCAATACTCCCATGAAGTGAGCACTGTTATCAATCCCCATTTTACAGATGAATAAATTGAGGCACAGAGAGGTTAAACAACTTGCCCAAGGGCACACAGTCATAAATAGCAGAGCTGGGACTTGAACCCAGGCCATCTGGTTCCAGAACCTACATTCTTCTCTATGTCACGGTGTTTTTCTGACCTGGGGGTTCCCTCTTGTTACCCAGAAAATGAGTTCTTTCAAGGTTAGCAGACCGGGCTCACCTAGCCCAGATGCGTCAGAATCAGGGCCCTAAGACTCCAGATGCTTCCTGACAGGATGCAGGCGCAGAGGTGACCGCTCTTGCTCCAAGCCCCACAGTCTGCCTGGTTCCCTAGCTGTTCTCTGCCAGATCGCAGCCAATCTTCCTCACCTGCCTACCACCAGGATCCCCATGCCAACACTGTCACCAGGGAGGTCCAAGGAGTTCCCAGAGAGGAGGACCTCAACTGAGGACAAGCAGGGTTTTTGACAAACAGAGCAGAAATGAATTTAGGAAGGAATGTATCAGAAGCACAGAGGGGTTTTTTTTGTTTGTTTTTGTACCGGGGATTGAACTCGGGGGGCACTCGACCACTGAGCCACGTCTCCAGCCCTATTTTGTATTTATTTAGAGACAGGATCTCAGTGAGTCGCTTAGCACCTCACTTTTGTTGAGGCTGGCTTCAAACTCGCAATCCTCCTGCCTCAGCCTCCCAAGCCTTTGGGATTTCAGGCGATTTTACACTTCTTAAAACACCTCTCTTAGTCTGTTGCTCGGTGGGCTAGTTAACAGCGCACAATTTTCAAAAGTGAGTGAATTGATGGTAAGTTTAAGATTGACAGATGCCCAGAAACTTGGGAGCGACAGGCCTGGAAAGAAACGTGCAGTTTAAAACTACACGCGTTGTCCTTCCGACTCTCCACCTGCTCTCTCTGCCCCCCAGCCACCATGCCGTTCGGCAACACCCACAACAAGTTCAAGCTGAACTTCAAGTCTGAGGAGGAATACCCAGACCTCAGCAAGCACAACAACCACATGGCCAAGGTGCTGACCCCTGACCTGTACAAGAAGCTGCGGGACAAGGAGACGCCATCGGGCTTCACCCTGGATGACGTCATCCAGACAGGTGTGGACAACCCAGGTAAGCCGCCCATGGAGCACCGTGGGGACGGGGGGGGGGGGGCTGGAGGCCACCAGCCAGCCCCACCCCCTCCTCAGTCCTCCCGTCTGTACATGGGGACACACTTTGGGGCAGTTGTGAGATACTCCAAATGAGCGACACACGGAAAGCGCACGGTGAGTGCGGGCACATGGCACTGGATACCTGTGCACAATTATAAAGTGAGGCCCCTGAGGAGGTCACGGAATCTTCCTGAGCCTCAGTTTCCTCCCCTGAAAAATGGGGGCCCATGTTGGGAAAGCTCCAGGGCCCACGCACGCCCAGGGCTCGGCGCTGAGCCGCCGCCTGCAGCATGCGCACTCCCAGCATCCAGGGTCTTTCTCTAAGGACTCCTGGAGCCGCCCGGAGAGCCCCAGTCCCTTCTTGCAGCAACTCACCCTGAAACCCGGAAGGGCCCCCCCCCCCACTCCAGTCCTCTGCTTCTCCTGCTGGTGTCTGGAACCCCGTGAATGCTGGGCCAGCGCTCTTCCACTGAAGAGACCCAGCCGCTGCTCCTTTTGGGGGGACTGCCAGGGAGTACTGGGGATTAAACCCAGGGGCGCTCTACCCCTGAGCTACATCCCCAGAATTTTTATTTCTTATTTTGATACAAGGTCTAAGTTGCTTTGGGCCTTGCTAAATTGCTGAGGCTGGCCTCAAACTTGTGATCCTCCTGCCTCAGCCTCCTAAACTGCTGGGATTACAGGCATGTGCCACTGCACTTGGCAATTCTTTTTGAATTTTTTTTCCATGATGGAGATGGAACCTAGGGTCTTGCACCTGCCAGGCACATGCTCTATCACTGTACGCACTGTGCACACCGGCTGCAGCATCAAGGGCTACAAGCTGCCCCCAACCCATAATTAGGTCTTTCAGGGTTTTTATTACTAGTACTTTAGGCTAAGATGTCATGATTTGGGGACCAGAACCTTGTACCTAGTCCCTAAGACTCCCTTTCTCCTTTGCCCACTGCTAGCATATTCTACTCACTCCAGATGCCACCCCAATCTCTCCCAGTGAAGCCCCCCCCCCCCCCCACACCCCACACACACACACACACACACACACACACACAGGGACAAGCACCTCTGATCTCAGTCCCACCCCCCAGGCCACCCTTTCATCATGACCGTGGGCTGCGTGGCCGGGGACGAGGAGTCCTACACGGTTTTCAAGGATCTCTTCGACCCCATCATCCAGGACCGACACGGGGGCTACAAACCCACCGACAAGCACAAGACGGACCTCAACCACGAGAACCTCAAGGTGGGCTCCCAGCCGGCCGCGGGGCCAGACACGGAGATGGGGAGACCTGGAGAGGGGGGCCGGGAGGGGCAGAGGGGGGGACTCAGAAACAGATGGAAAAGGGGGACAGGCACGGGGGGGGGGCAGCAGTGGGCGCGGGGACAGGGAGAAGGCAGATCCACAGGGAGCCGCGGGAGGGGCAGGCGGAGAGACGGTGGAAGGAAGTTTGGAGACCACCAGGACAGAGGCGGCCGGGAGGAGGGCAGAGAGGGCGGAGGGGAGGACCCAGGAGGGAGGGGAGAGGCCCGAGCTGGGGGTCTGGGTTCGCGGGGGCCCTGACTCGCCTCCTGCCGCCCAGGGTGGAGACGACCTGGACCCCAACTACGTGCTCAGCAGCCGCGTGCGCACCGGCCGCAGCATCAAGGGCTACTCGCTGCCCCCGCACTGCTCCCGCGGCGAGCGGCGCGCGGTGGAGAAGCTGTCGGTGGAAGGTGAGCGCCGCCCGGGCCAGCCTCCCGCTCCCGTGCTCCAACAGCGGGGGGCGTCGCCAGCGATGGCTGACAGCGTTACCTGTGTCCCGGTGGTCCTGAGGGGTCCCGAGGGGTCCCGAGGTGTCCCACCCCAGCGGTCCCAGGGTCCCCACTTTCTCTCTGGTGCAATTTCTGGTTGCTCTGGTCCCCTTGGGAAGTGAGGCGAAGGAGCTCAGGGCAGGCTGGGAGGTGAGGGGAGCACCCTGAAAAAGGAGGTGTTGAGACGTCCCTGGCAGGAAGGCACTGTGGGGAAGAGCTGCAGGCAGGAGGACAGAAAGTGCAAAGGCCCTGGGGTGGGACTGTGTGTTGCTGGAGCAAGGAGACAGGTGGTTGGAGCAGGGTGGCCAAGTGGGGAGCAAGGTTGGAGAGGTGCCAGTGGCCAGACTCTGCCCTCTGGGCTGTTGGGAGGGCTTTGACTTTGACTCAGAGCTAGGCAGAAGCCACTGGAGGGTGGTGTGCAGAGAGGGACAGGGACACACTTGTGTAGATTCCTTGAGCTGTTGACCATGGGGGTGCAGGCAATGGTGGCAGCAGAGACTTTGAGGGGGCCAGTCCAGGGTGAAGAACAGGCCAGGGCAGGGGAAGCACAAGTGTGTTCGCAGGTGGCACCGCCAGGACCTGCAGGAGGCATGGTTCTGGTAAATATTTAACCGCTGGCTCCATAGGCGGGAAAAGTCCTGTTTTTCAGGGTTTTTCCGTGATCTAAATTCTCTTACCATGACTGATCGTGAGCTGTTAATGTGACGTCATACACACAGAAGAGATGCACACAGTAGGTAGTATTTCCAGCACACAGACACAATAGTGAAAAACTTCAACAATACAGAAAATACGTTTAACAGCTTAATATATAATATATAATGTCATTATGCTATATGACTTGTTATGTTAATATATAAATATAAAATATATACTATAGCATAAAACATATATAACAGGTTATATGATATATATTATGTTACATATTATTTATTGTTTTATATGTTAATTTTTCTATACATAGTACATTTATACATATAAGAATGTATAAAATGCATCTAGATATTACATAAATATATATATTTTTCATATATGTATACAAATCTATTCCTTACATAATATATTTTATACATGTGAATATATACAAATAGCACACAGGCAGTCTTAGACTAACGGTTACTAATGGCTCCCCAAACCCCAAGGCTTGGCCCTCTGTCTTCCCGAAGCACAGAGCCCCTGCAGGTGGACTGGGTGGGACTATCTGTCTGCTCCTGGGCCCTGGGCAGACAGGGGAGGGACAGATTGTGCCACAGTCACAGTGTTTAGGTGCCTTCAGGACACCCAAGGGGTCGAACCATCAAGGGTGGCAGTGTGGGGTCCCCAGCCTCCACCCCTGGGTTGAAGGGGGTCAGGCTGTTGACCAGTGCCTCCTGTGGCTCCTTAGCCCTCAACAGCCTGACGGGCGAGTTCAAGGGGAAGTACTATCCTCTGAAGGGCATGACCGAGCAGGAGCAGCAGCAGCTCATCGATGACCACTTCCTGTTCGACAAGCCTGTGTCCCCACTGCTGCTGGCCTCGGGCATGGCCCGCGACTGGCCCGACGCCAGAGGCATCTGGTGAGCTCCTCCTGCCCTCAGCTTCCTCTTGCCCCAGCTTTTCTTGCAGTCCCCCCAGGATGTCCCCTCTCCTACCCCATGATCAAAGACCCTGACCTTTCCCCCACTCTGCCTATCCTGGGGTTTGTGTGTCACATTTTGGGAAACTTGGACTAGAGAAGTGCAGTTAAACATTCATGGACTTGAACCAGATTCCGTGGGCTCCAATCCCAGCTCTGTCATTTACTAGCTATGTGACCCTGTGGTGCCAGTAATCCCAGCTACTTGGGAGGCTGAGGATCCTTCGAACCTGAGAATTCAAGGCCAGCCTGGCCAGACCTTGGGGGGGGGGAGAGAGACAGAGAGAGACAGAGAGAGCCAGAGAGGAAGTAGAGGAGAGGAGAGGAGAGGAGAGGAGAAGAGAAAAGAAAGAAAAAAGAAAAGTGACTTGGAAAAATTAATTACCTTCTCCATAGTGTCCCCTTCTATAAAATGGGGATCCCAGTAACTCTCAGCTTTTGGAATTCTTTCAAGATCTAAAAAAGCTGATTTATGTGAAACTAATTTAGGGATTCAAAGATTCATAGAAAGCATAACTAGTGGTCACAGTAACCAAGATAATCCTAATGGCAGGTGCCAAGCGCTTGTGTACCCAGGCACTGGTCAGATTCCTTGGGCTCAAATCCCAGATGTAGGATTGCCAAGATTTGTCGTTTCTGAGTCTAAGCTTCTATGTGCTAAAGATGCTAAGATTCCAAGAGTTGTGTGTGTATGTGTGTGTGTTGTGGTCCTTGGACACAGTTGGCAAGTGCTTTACCACTGGGCCACACCCCAGCCCCAGGAGTCTTTAATGATGTTCAAAGTTTTCGTTGTAGATGGACACAATACCTTTATTTATTTATCTCTATGTGGTGCTGAGGATGAAGCCCAGGCCTCTAGGCCAGGGTTCTACCACTGAGCCACCACCCCAGCCCCACGTTCAGAGGTTTTTAAGCCCCTACAAGTCCTTGATCCCAGATTCGAGGATTTGGATATCCTGTGAGGGTGCAGTCTTTGGGTTTAATTTTCTGCGAGAAATACAATGTCACTCACCTCATATCCTTCAGGCCTGCTTCCTTCAGCGGGAGGGGGCCGGGTTGTGCTCGGGCGACAGTGGGGGAATGGGGTTCCCATAGAGCTGACTCCCTTGCCTCTTGCTGCACCCCACTCTAGGCACAATGACAACAAGAGCTTCCTGGTGTGGGTGAATGAGGAGGATCACCTCCGGGTCATCTCGATGGAGAAGGGGGGCAACATGAAGGAAGTTTTCCGTCGCTTCTGCGTGGGGCTGCAGAAGGTGGGTGTGTGCCCCTCGCACTGACCTCCCACTGCATCCGGAAGCTCCGCCCCTCCAAGGCCACACCCTCAAACTAGGCTCCACCCCTATGTCCAAGGCCAGCCTCCAAGAACCCGTCCCGAAACCCTGCAGAGTCTCCTCCCAGTTCTCCAGCTCCGCCCCCTTGGTGCCCGCCTCCATCCTTGTCCGCGCCTCGGCCCTGTGAACCCTGGTGTAGCTGGGAGTGCCAGCGGACATTGATCCCCGGTCCTCTCCCTCCACCTCAGATTGAGGAGATCTTTAAGAAGGCTGGCCACCCCTTCATGTGGAACGAGCACCTGGGTTACGTGCTAACCTGCCCATCCAACCTGGGCACTGGGTTGCGTGGAGGCGTGCATGTGAAACTGGCACACCTGAGCAAGCACGCCAAGTTCGAGGAGATTCTCACCCGCCTGCGTCTGCAGAAGCGGGGCACAGGTACAGCCCCGCATCCCCTACCCCGCGGTGTCTGGGGCAGGTCCTTTGAGGTAGAGGAAGGGGAGGTGGAGCATCCCCGCGAGCTCTGGGATCGGTTAGGGCTTCCTGCTGTGAGCCTGTTCCTCCTCTGAGTTAGTATGGTCATGGCCATATAATATGCATTTTGCATACCCGGGAATCCGTTCCTCAACGGTAAATGGGTGGTCAGGATTCGCCCCCAGGCAGCAGGGATCTGCTGGGATCTTGCACACTTTGGCTTATTTTCATGTTGGATGGTTGAGGGGTGAGGTACCTAAAGCCGGACACTTGGACCCCAAGTAAACAGACATAAGGAGGCTCTGTGTGCAGGTGATCGGTCACATGGTAGGCATTCATACACGCGCCTGTTGCAGGTGACACAGGGGCAGCCTCCGGCCCCCCTGAACCTCGACTCCTTCCTCACGCCTCTGGCCCCTGCTCCCACAGGTGGCGTGGACACAGCTGCAGTGGGCTCTGTGTTTGACATATCCAACGCCGACCGGCTGGGCTCATCCGAGGTAGAACAAGTGCAGCTGGTGGTGGACGGTGTGAAGCTCATGGTGGAAATGGAGAAGAAGTTGGAAAAGGGCCAGTCCATCGACGACATGATCCCTGCCCAGAAGTAGGCACCCAGCCCACCCGCCGCCAAAGGCTGGAGCCCGGGCTCCCGGAGGACCCGGCGCACTGGAGGCCCAATCCTTCATCCCTTGCTCCGCCCCTCTCCCCAGAGTCCCGCCCACAATGGTTCCATTACCTGGACGCTCTCTCCGCCCTACTTGGAGTTCCTATTCCACCCAGAGTTCCAGCCAATGGGCTCCACCCTCTGGGCTCTGGCCAATGAAAAACCTCCCTCACCTCTGGGTGTCCAGGGCCCCGCCCACCACCTGGAGCTCTGGCGGACGCGGCGTCCGCAACACTGCTGGAGCTCCTGCTTCTCCACGGAAAGCAATAAATAAAAACAGTGGTGGCCTTAGCTTTGTGTGGCACAGTATTGAGGGACGCGGAGGGAGCAGTTTTGTAATCGGCCACTGTGTGCTTGAAATGGTTTGCCCTCTCTAGGCACGTGCTAGGCTTGCTTTATCCCATCTCTAAAATGAGGCGGAATTAGGGTACAGAACCTGGACAAAAACTTTAAGCCTCTATGAGGAGTCGGAGACTCAGAAGAGTGGCCCACCGCCACTTAGCCAAACACCGGGGACTTCCCAGCCTCGGCTGTGAATTACTCATGCTCAGAGTTCAGAGAGGGAGAGATGCAGACACACACACACACACACACACACACACACACACAAAGAGACTGAATTTGGCCCATGGGCCTCCGGCTTGAGACCTCCCCATGACATACATCCAGTACATCTACCTCTGTGTGCTCCTCACCGGTCTCCTCCTGTCCAGTTTGACTTCATCGCTCTGTAGCTTCCAGTCTTTGGAACTTCTCTTACTTTGCTCAAGAACCTTCCATGGCGCCCGTATCTCCTAGCACTCCTTTTACTTGTGATCCTTTAAGGTCACACTGAAATGCATCTGATCTGCTGAAGGCTCATCGTTCAGTTCTCCCCTCATTATTGCTTGATTTTCACTGTGTGTACCCTGCAGTTCCCAGCTCAACGTATTGCTCCTCCTGATTGGGACTTGGGAGGGAGCCTTCCTATGTGGTCTTTAGGGGTGGGTCTTTTATAGAGCTTGGTCCCAGGAAGGAGCCAAACGGAATATGGCAAAGTAACTGGGGGAGGAAGAGGAGTTAACAGAAATCAGTTAGTGTCTGGGCCTGCTCTGTTGGGATGCCACTAACTGCCTGTCAGCCAAACAGGCCAAGGCCTCCACAGAACACTGGGGGTGGACCCCCAAAGAGACAGAAGTTTCAGAAGGAAATGAAGCCGAGCCCTCAGGAATCTGGCAGAGGCACTTTTTCAAACTTTAAGAGCAGGAGGTTGGGGCTGGGGTGGTGGCTCAGTGGCAGACCCTTGCCTAGCATGTGTGAGGCACTGGGTTCGATTCTCAGCACTGCAAAAATAAAATAAAGGTCCATTGACAACTAAAAAAAAATTAAAAAAGAGAGGTTAAGGGCCCTTAGAGATCAATCTGCCTTCTGCTTTACAAAGGGGAAACTGAGGCCCAGGGCTGTCTCTGTGAGTTCTCAGGATGGCTGAAATAGGAAGGTTAGAAGACACCCAAAGACCAAGGCATGAAGAACCTGTCAGATGCAGGGATGTCCTTCAGAGTATTATCCCCAACTGAAGATCCCATCTCTAGTCACAGTTCCACCCCCAGAAGCCAAAGAGACCACTATGCTCCAGCCTGACAATCTGAGCCTGCCACATCGAAGTCCAGGCATCTGTAGTTACCAAGTCCTGCCCATTTTGCCTCAAAAGCCTCTTAAATCCACTCTTCCTCTCCCCATCTTCTGTCCCACTCTGCTCTCCTCCCTGCCTGTCATCTCTCCCCCTCCCCCAAATCCCAACACAAACCTTCTCTACTCTCCCTGGCTCATAACCTCACTGTGGCACCCAGTGCCCGTGAAAGCAAGCCCAAGCCCCTCTCCATGATTTTCAAGGCCCTTCAGACATCTCTACTCTCATCATTGTTCACAGTGACCATACTCACCCTGATTCACATGCCATCTGATGTGGGTAGCCAGTTCCTCCTCCTCCAGGATGCCCTCCTAGGTTAGGGCAGGCACCCACTGGACTCAACTCTGCCCCTCTGGATGGTCAGCCTGAAGACATACCTACCTATCTCTACCAACGGAACGTGAGCTCCACAAGGGCAGGGATGGAGACATCCTTGCACAGAGGAGGCCTTCAGGGATCAATTAAACTTCTCTGTGCAAAACTCTCCCAGTGCCTTGGAAGAAAGCCTAGTGTGCCCACTGGGGCCCCAGAGGCCCGGGCTGAAGGAGTGTAGCTCCCACCTCTCTACTGCTCAGGAAGCCTCTCCTTGAGGAACCTAAGTTTAGCTCTAGTTAGGGGCCACAGCCACTCTAAAGCCAGTGATTGGTTCAGGGATAACCACATGACTTATCTTGGCCAATCAGGTCTCTCAGGACTTTTATTGAAGTTGGCATTGAGGAGGGACAGATGCTTGGGGGCTGCTGGGGTCACCTCTTGCCATCAGGAAAGGAGTTTCTATTGGACTCCATTAGAATTACATTTACACTGATGAAAGCTGAGATGACCTGACATCTGGACCCAGCCATACCTGAAGTTAGAGCTCCTGGACTACTGATTAGCAAATAAATACCTTTATGCTTAAGTGGTGGAGATGGACTATTCCTCCTGTGCAGCATTTCTCCATTCCCCACACATGCCCAGCAGCAGCCACACTGAGCTTACCTGCAGCTCTCTGGAGTCAGACCATGTACTCCCACCTCCACCTGGGCTTCTGGTCAGGGCATCACCAAGTCCTGACCAACTCCTATTCATCCTTCAAAGCCCAACTCCAGTATGAGCTCCTCTGGAGCTTCTTTTCCAACCCTCCTCACTCTCTCTCCAGGCTCCCCAAGACAATAGTTTCCCTAGTGTTTGTACCCACAGACAGGGCACCCCATGTCTCCCGGTCCAGCACTGGCCGGGCACGGAGTAGGCACTGGTCAATGACTGTTTATTGAATAAATTTACTACTGGAGTAGGAAGAGGCTGAGTCCAGTGTAATATAGTTGGCGGGAGTTGACAAATGGGGGTCCCCAAGAGAGGACCTGGATGGGGCCTCCTGGATGGGGCCAAGTTCTGTCCTGCCCTTTCCCACTACAATCCTTCACCCTCACACCCGCCGCCACTCCCGCCCTGCAGATGACCAAACAGGCTCAGAGAGAAGCCACTGGCCCCAGTCACACACCTCCTCTCCGCTCACCTGCAGGGGAGGGCAGGGAAGGAAAAGCCCCGGGTCGGTGTGGGGGACTCTCCTAAGTTTATTGGGCAACAGGCTGCAGGTGAGGGGCTGGTGGAAGGAGGGTGGGGGGTAATAACTTAAAAACCCGAGGTGTCAGCGGCAGCTTGAGAGACCTCTGCAGAGGAAGGGGGTGGGGTATTTACAAGGATTTGTACAAAGTGCCCCGCGCCAGCCTGGGGCAGGAATTGGGGTTCGAGCATAAGGGGTGGGGGAGGGGAAGGACTCTGCCTCTCTGACCCCATTCCCAGCCCCCCATGAGTCTCCAGTCTTGGGCTCAGCAGCTCCCCTGCCCTGCCAGAGGCCTAGTTCTTGAGCTGCTGGAGGAATGTTCTCCTCGGGTCCCTTCCCGCCTGTCCTGCCCCCAAAGTCTCCTCAGGTGCCCCCACGCAGGGTGAGGGGGAGCAGGACTGGCTGGAGCCTCCAGGAGGGTGCCAGCTCCCCCGGCAAGTCCCCTCATCCTTCTCCTGTGCCAAGCAGCCCCGGAGAACAGCAGAGGGGATAACTTCTGTCCCCAACCAAATCCACGGAAACCGAGGTGATGACAAAAGGAGAATCCCCTCCCTGTCCCCTTTTCCTCCTGTAGAAGCGAAGGGAACGAGAGAGGAAGAGGAAGGGACCCGGGCTGTGGTGGCTCAGAGCTCGAGGTCGTTGGAGATGCGGGTGACGAGGGTGCGGAAGGCCAGGGCGGTGCCCGCCACACGGCGGAAGAGAACGCCCCGCAGGCCCGGCCGGGGCAGCTGGCAGACCTCCACTTCGAAGTGGGACAGGGGCTCGGGCCCGCCCGCACCCCCGTGCAGACAGGCCAGCAGGAACGGCTGTGGCTGGCGGCAGCGGCAGCGGGCGGCTGCTGTGGCCTGGCGCAGAGCTGCCATCAGGGCCTCGGGAGGGCGCGAGCTGGTCAGCTTCACACTCCAGGGGAATCGGAGCAGCCGGGGGGCGGTTTCCGTTTGATCCCAAGGTAGATGGCAACTGGGGTGGGAAGAGAGTAGGGGTCACAGACGGGAGACCAAGGTTAGGTGGGTAGATAACTGAAGGGACAACTCTCTCCACTTTGGGACACACGCCTAGCTGTGCCCTCAAAACCATTCTTGCACCTGCAGTGACAATTTCAGCTGGACATAAAGCTGCCTGGCTGGAGATCACATGTCTCAGACTCCTCTGCAGCCGGGCAGGACCGGGTCTAAATTCTGGGACATGGGCAGAAGTGAGGCCTGCCACTCCACCTGGTGTCCTTCACAAGAGTCCCCATGCCCGGGGACTGGCAGCAGCACCAGCCAGCCTCGCCTGTACAGATGACTAAGGAATGGGGGTGAAGAACCCAGACACCTGAATGACCATATGGGACAGAGTGGCCCTGCCACACGGCTTGGATAAGAAATCTATTACTGCATTTTGGGGTCTCGTTGGAGCAGGCGAGCTTGTTTCCTACCTAATACTCTTGTGGTAATGACAATGCCTTCTCTCGGGGGGACCAGCGCTCTTCACTCTAGACCAGGGACTCACTTAGAAGTACCTTCGGCACAAAGGGGTGTTTGGAAATTTCTCGGGTCTTTCTACCTGGGATAAGACCACCACTAGTATTTATTATGCTGGGGAAAGGGGCAGGTCAGGGATGAGAAATGTCCTACGACGTGCAGGCGGTCCCTTTACAAAACGCAAAGTGCCCGAGCATTCTTCTCTAGGGGGCGGACCACCAAGAACGCATGGCCAATCAGAACTTCCACTGCTCTGCCCACTATGATTGGATCAATGACGAGCATACGGCCACGTCTGACCCATCAGAGTAGCCCACCCTTTCAGCCCCAGCCAATGAGCATCAGTCTGGACTTTATTGGAAACAGGGGAAGGCTCTCGTTTGCACTGGGGTCTCTAAATTGGTAGGGGTGAAACTAAAGCAGGGCTGCCAAATACTGCGCTGCCTGCTTTTGTAAATAAAGTTTTATTGGGACACAGCCACACCCATTTTTTTGTAGGGAATATGGTTTTCTCAGTGGAATGGCAGAGCCCATGCCGGAGACTGGCTCTTAAAATCTTAAGATATTTGCCCTCTGGGCCCACACTGGTGCTGTCTGCCACTGCGCGGTTCGGAGCGGTGGGGCAGCTACTCTGCCACCATGGATGAGAGGCGAAAGGAGGCGGGGTGATGACAGGAGGGCAGCTGGGCTGCAGCTAGGACAAGATGGTGCTCAGGGCTGTGGTGCAAAGGGCAGGAATCCAGGGCAACTGGCAGAGGAGGTGGGTCATGGGCCATTTCAGAAGGCTGGGCTTGGAAAATGGCCTCAGGTCCCATCTGAGGGCCAGGGGTGAGGGAGGGGCTGTGAGGTGGTCAGGGGCAGTCACATGCACTCACCTTGTGACCTCAGGTCCCCCGATTCTCTCAGGTTCGTCTGCGACCCTGGGGAGGAGGTGGACAGGGTGTCTAACCTGGACATAGGGAGCCCTCCTCCCCCACCCACTGCCTCCCGGGCCCTGCCTTGGCCCAGTCCCTCCCTGCTGGCTAGAACTGACCCCCTACATCTCCAGAAGGGGGTTCGTCCTGAGAGGGTTAGTGCAAGTGGTAGAAAAGACACAGAAGAATTTGGAAGACAGAGAAAGAGGGGGTGGGTGGACACCTATATGTAGAAGGGGCAACAGAGAGACACACACACTCACACAGTCGGCTTTGCTGAAATGGCAGACACCTCCTTAGCGAGCCTGTCCCTCCCTTCCCCACACCCTGGACCACTGCCCTGCTCTATTTTTCTTCTTAGTACTTGTCAAGACCCGATATTCCTCCCCCCACCCTCTCTCTCTACATTTTAGATATTCTCTGGTCCCCTACTAGAATGTCGGCACTGCTAGTGCAGGAAATTTTCACATTTTTTCACTCCTGGGTCCAGAATGGCACCAGGAACACAGTAAGTAGGTGCCCCACAAGTAACAGCAGTAATGAATAAAAGTAGTGAGCAAATTATTTCTAAATAATGCATTCATAAAGCACTTTCCAAGGCAACCTCCTCAGTCCTCACAACCACCCTCAAAGGAATGAATGACCTGTCATTGTGACTGCCACTGTACAGAAGAGGAAAACCAGGTCCAGAGAGGTTGAGTGACTTCCTCAAGGTCACTCGGTAGAGTTGATATCTGGACCCCGAGAGTCTGGCTCCAGGGGTCATGCTTCTGGCCACTGCTCTTTATTAAAGGAGTAAATGAACACGCAGACCCCACATCCAGGCCCTGTTCCCCACTCACATGCACGGCCCCTCCCTGCGGCCCGCACACACACCAGATGCAGACGGGAGGCAGAGCCAGGGAGAGCGTGGGCGGGACTTACTGATCTTGGATCCCTGGGGCAGAGAGGCGCCCGAAACGCAGCGGTTAGAATTCTGCCGTTTAGAGGGATCGAGGGTGACCCTGCAGTGTGAGGAGGAGGTGACAGGGGAAGGGAGCAGGAGGAGGAAGAAAAGGAAAAGGAGAAGGAGGAGAGGTCAGGGCGCAGGAGGCAGAACAGAGTAGTAGACAGGCCAGCCCGTTCCACCCCGACCTGGTGCCCGGCGGTGCTCACCGACGGGTCAGCTTGGAGGTCAGCTTGGTGAAGAGGTTGGTGGTGGGGCGCGGCCGCCCGGCAGGCAGGGGTGCAGCCTCGTGTGCCAGCGTGGGCGAGGCTGGGGGCCCGTTCTGCACGCCCCCGCTGCCCCCGCCCCCTGCCCGCCGGTCCCGGACCTGACCACCGTGGAAGGTGCTGCGGATGGTGGAGCCGCGTGCTAGGCGGCTCCGCTCCCCAGATGGGGGAGCCAGGCTGTGACTGGAGGGGGAGGCGGGGGGTACCCGTGGGGTGCCCGAGCTGTGGAGAGAATGACAGGTCAGGGTGGGACTCCGAGGCAAACCTGGGCCCTAATCCCCCTGATTCTTCACTTAGCCCATAAACCCTGGAGCTACGGGGCTGCTATGTACCGTTGTGCAGGCTGTAGACTACAGACCCACAGCATTATTTTATGGACTTTTAGAAGGAAGTTACCTCTTTTTCAATCTGTTCCTTCTTTAAACTCTACCTCCTCCAATCTGTCCACTGCTCCAACTTTCCTCTCTCCAGACTCGGCAACCAAATAGATTTTACATATACTTGTAGATGATTCCCTTGCTATGTGCTATCCACACTTCAGGAACCAAATGAACTTGGCAAAGGCTGCTCGGATAAGGAGCAGATGTGAATGTCAAAAACCCGGATTCATTATGACAGCAACCTCCTCCTCCTCCTCCTCCTCTTCTTCTTCTTTTTTTTTTTTTTTTTTTTTTTTAAGATGGGGGTCTTGCTATGCTGCTCAGGCTGTCCTTACAACTCCTGGGCTCAAGTGATCCTGCCATCTCTGCATCTGGAGTGACTGGGACTACACATGAGCCACTGCACCCAGCTCAATCATGACAACTTGCTGATGGGTGAAAATACAAAGGGGACCCCCCTTTCTTTTTCAAGATATTATGAGGGAAGTAGGGGTCCCTCTGTCCCAGTTTTTCTCCAGTCCTTTCTGACTCTCCCAATCCTGACAGCTGAAATAGAATTCCAATTTCTATCTTCCAGGGACCAGCTTAGATCTCAGAGAGGAAAGCCTGACTAGCCTAGATCTCAGAGAGGAAAGCCTGACTGTGGCAGAGGCCACTACCTCTCTCCCAGAATCCATTATCCCTGTTTTACTTCCTATGAACCCTGCTCATGGCCTCCCAGAGACTACACTTCCCAGCAACCCTTGCAACATGGGTGGTAGTCATGTGACTAGGCTCTGGCCAATAGAAAACAAGCAGAAATGCCTTGTACCATTTCTGGGTCTTGTCTTTTTCTTGGTACCAGGCATTGAACCCAGGGGTGCTTAACCACTGAGTCACATCCCCAGACATTTTTAAAAAATATATTTTATTTAGAGAGGGTCTCGCTGAGTTGCTTGGGGCTTCACCAAGTTGCTGAGGTTGGCTTTGAATCCACAATCCTCCTGCCTCTGCCTCCCCAGCAGCTGGGATTACAGGTGTGCTCCAATGTGTTGGGTGGGGGCCCATGCCTTTCAAGAGTGCTGCGTACCCTCTAGTTTTTTCTCACTTCTTGCAGATTGGGAAATAGTGGCAGTTGGTAGAGCTGATTCAGACCAGATTGGAGTCTCGGCATGAAGACCTACAGAATCAGCCTGGGCTCCCTGAGAAACCCTGCTGGTCTCCCCACCACCCCACCCCCCTGGCTGAGGTGCCAGAGATGGAACCCAGGGCCTCATATATGCCAGGCAAATGCTCTACCACTGAGCTACATCCCCAGCCTTCAAAATTCCATCTTTCTTAAGCCACCATCCCTTGGAAAGGTCTCTTTGTTCCAGCAGCTTGGGCTATAATCTAACTGACCAGGAAGACTGTGTTACTACAGCTGCTGATGCAGATTCTGGAGTCAGTCTGCAGCCCTTGTTCCTTGACTCATCAGCTACAGTGGGCCTTGGGCAAGTTATTTAACCTTGCTGTGCTTCATTTCCAGTTATAAAATGGAAATACTAGGATCTACTTGCAATATCATTAGAAGCATTAAGTCAGCTAAGGTACTTTGCACATGACTGCTGCCTGATGAATGATCACTATTCTTACTTTTATTTAGTAAACCATCAAAATAGCTCAGCCAGGGCCTAGTGTATCAGCCCTGTGCCAGGTAAAGGAACACCTGTTCACCATCGGAAATCTTAACGGGGGCTGGATGTAGCTGGTGTTGGCCCCATTTTACAGAGTAGAAAAGAGGCTCAGAGATTTGCCCAACAGTAATTGTAGTAGCAAAGTGCGGAGGCAAGCCTCAAACAGAACTGAGTAGTCCCAGAATCACGACTGTCGCCCACGGCATTACCCCGCCCCCAGCCACCGTAACACCCGCCTGCATTTATCAGGCACGTCCTAGAGCTGGGCCTCCGTGTTGGCTAGTCACGTGGCCAGTGGCCCTTGCAGGTGGGAGTGTGGCTATCCTGGAGGTGCCCTGCTTCTGGATGGGCACCAATTCACTTCCTGTCCATGCGCCAGCCCCCTGGAATTGGTCCCCTCACTTGCCAGCTAGAGAGACCTCACAGCCTTGGGCCACTCAGCCAGGCCACCCAGCCAGATGATGTGGAAGCTGTGACGATCTGGGGCTTCTCTCAAGTTCTAAAAATGGATCATTCAAAAAATCCGGTTGGGTTGCCGCCGCCGCTTGTAGGCGAGAGCGAGGCAGCCTGCTTTGTTCTAAGGCTGGTGACTGGTTAACTAGGTGAGGACACGGACAGGGTACCTGGGCACATCCTACCAAGGGCAGGGTGGACCCGCCCACTGTCCAGGCTGGATCATCTCAGATCCAGGGGCCTGCTCCCTGCCGGCCCCTCCCTCCCAGGCCCCCATACCTGTTTTCTTTGCCATTTGGCAACAGGGACGGGCGCTCGGCCCCTGGGCGCTCTGTGCAAACATAGGTGTTCCTGCGGGTCATCATGCTGGGAGGGAGGTTGTTCTGTGGGGGACACGCGGGAAGAGGAGCGGTGAAGGGCTGCCTGCCATGAGCCCTCTTGCCCTCTCCCCGGAGGACTGATCAGGGCCTGGGTGGGAACCCAGGGGGGCAGGCAGGCAAGGGCTCAGAGGCCCCCAAACGCAGAGAGGTCCACAAGCTCTTCCCACTGGTGCCATTCACCAGCTCTCCGGGAGGTGGGCCTGGGAGGCCACTCGAGGTTTAGGGGGAGGGGGCTGAGGGAGAGCCATACAGGCCATACAGGTACAGGGACATGCTACACTCGGTCCCCAGTGAGCCCGTGTCCTGGCCGGGTCGCCTGCTCAGAACATCCCCCGGCTGGCCTCCCCACTCAGCCTCTGATCTCCTGGTCCGTTCACAATATGCCCACCCCAGGCCAGGCAGCCTCCGGGCCTCCTGGGTGCCCACTGCAGACAAATATGTCCCCAACCCCAAGAGACGGTGAGCTCCATGAAGACACGGAGTGTAAGGATCCCACTGTCCCCTTGGACGTCAAGGTCTGAGATCAGGTCTCTGCCTCAGCAGGGCCTGCCCGGTGCCATTCACCAGCTCTCTGGTGACAACAGGCTCTTCCCAAATACTACACAGTGCTCTGGGAACTGCAGGACCCCTGGGTCAGAGAAACGTACCGCAGGTGGCATCTGCAGGATGGACCCCTGGTGGCCCGCCCCCGCCCACTCACGGGGGTGCTCGTGCTGTCCTTCCGCCGCTCGGGAATCTCCGCCTTGTTGGGGTTGTGGGCGCTGCTGACCATGGGGCTGGACGGGGGCAGCCCCCGACTCCCGCTCCCCGCCGCGCTGCAGCTCGCCTTCCGGCCCGGCAGCCGCTCCTCCTTGAGCTCCGCCTCCCCGGTGCTGGTTGGGCTGCGCTTGGGGTGCAGGGGTGCCGGGGAGGGGCCACCTGGGGGAGGGAAGGAGCAGGTCCCGCTGATATATTGTCAAAGCCACCAACGCGACCGCGCGGACCCAGGAACCCCAACACGACCTCAGGTCCAGACAGGCTTTGCGGGTCCCCGCCCCCCTGGTTCAGGCCGTGGAACCCGGCCTCGTAAGTGTCAGGCAAGGGCCTGACCACTGAGCCCCCCGGCCACGCCCCTCGCCTTTTTCTTTTTTCTCTTTTTTTTTTAATGTCAAAAGATTGGGAGCAGCATCAGGGGGGTGGCCAAATAAGTCAAGGTATTCCCGCAAGGAGCCACATGTGTATGGGTGTATGGAATCCCTTAAAAGAAATGTCCACAACAGGCAAATCCAGAGACTAAGCAGATTAGTGGCTGCAGGGCGGGGTGGGGGTGGGGGTGTGGGTGGGGGTGTGGGTGTGGGTGGTGGGATTCTTGGTGTGATGAAAGAGTCCCCACAGCGAGCATGGTGATGGACTTGACTCTGGAAGTATAGTAATGCTGGGGGCTGAACATTTTAAATGGGTGAATTGTACAGGATGTAAATTATCTCAATAAAACTACTTAGAAATCAGTGGAGAATTTAAATTTGATGAAGATGTAGGCAACAGACCTTTTGGGAGTTTTCGTGCTTAATCTTTTCCCCTCATTAAACCTGGGTTGCTTTACCACTGAGCTACATCCCCAGCCCTTTATTTATTTATTTGTGATAGGGGCTCAACATGTTGCTGAGGCTGTCTTTGAACTTGTGATTCTCCTGCCTCAGTCTTCCAAGTAGCTGAGATTACAGGCATGTGCCACCATGCCTGGTTCCCATGCCTAATTTTTTGACAGTGGTGGGGGTCTATTTATTTTCTGCAGCAGATGAGATATTTGTTGGCTGCAGAATGTAGGGCACAATCTGGTATCTTCCCAACCTCATTCCACTTGGAATGGCCTCCCCCCATTTTAGTGTGGAGGAGAAGTGAGAAGGCGGTCTCTAAGCAGTCACTTTGTACAATGAGTCCTGTACCCCAGTTGCAGTGAATTAATTCCCCAAAGACTCTGATATCAGTGCATTATCCCAGATGAGTAGCTCAAGAGATTCAAGGACTTTTGGGCTGGTCTCTAAAAGTGAAATGTTAATTAACCTCCTAGCTGGGCATAGTGGCACATGCCTGTCATCCCAGCTACTCAGGAGGCTGACACAGAAGTATTGCAAGTTCAAGGCCAGCCTCAGCAAGTTATCAAGGCCTCAAGCAACTTAGGGAGACGCTGTCTCAAAATAAAAACTAAAATGGGCTGGGGATGTGGCTCAGTACTAGAGCACCTCTGGGTTCAATTCTCAGTTAAAGGGGAAAAAAAAAGGCAGTGGATGTAGCTTGGAGGCCGGGCGCTTGCCTAGCACCTGGATTCAATCCTCGGTACAGCAAAAGAAAAAGCAGAAATCTGGGCTCACGGATCAGGAAAAAAGGTAAGGTGGGATAAGGGACAAACGAAAACCCAGAAAATGGGAGAGGAAGCAAGGCGCTCAGCTCTGGGGCTCTTCCAGATGGACCCCTCCTGCCTCTTCAGACGCAGCCTCTGGGGGCTGCAGTCGCCGAGCCTGGCCAATTCCCGGGCCCTGAGCTGGGGGCGGAGCCTGCCTGAAGGGGCGGGGCGAACTCACAGAAGTCGCTGTGCCGGCGCTGGCGGTGGTAGGTGGAGGAGGAGCTCCGCTGCCCTTTGCTGTGGCTGGTGCCTTTGCCGGCGCTTGTCCCGTTGGTGGTGTCGCTGGGCGCCCGTACCCGTGCCAGGGCCAGCCCTGGGGCGCCGCGGTCCCCACCCTCCTGCAAAAAGTTGGCAGACAAGAAGTCTTGGCCCTCCATCCCCTGTGCCCCCCAAATCCCTCCACCCGGGGCAGGGCACACTCCCGAAGGCCCCTGGCGTCCTCTGACCTCAGTCTTCCTGCCCAGCAGGAGGTAGGTGGCAGTCACTTCGTTGTACTTCTGGCTGGTCAAGGCTTCTCTGATCTCTTCCCGGGTGTAGCCCATACCCACCATCACCTCTGCGGAGGGCATGAGAGCGGGGTCAGCCTCCCGGACCCCTCCATCTGCTCCGCACGGCCGCCCTTTGGTCTGTCTGGAGCCATCTCCCTTCTACCATGGCAGGCTCCCGACCCCTGACTGCTCCATACCTGGGGCGCAGGCACACAGACACATGTCACGCCAGCCAAAGTGTTCTGTCCCCAAGGCCATCTGCCATTGCCTTCTCTTCTGAGAGGGCATCAGGCTTCCAGCATATGCTCTTGGCAGCTCCCCTCCCATAGTGAGCCATGAAGAGGAAGCTCCCAGGAAGAAGACTCCCAACAACTGTCTTGGAGCACCTGGGTCCAGCTGTGCCTGAAAGCTGTCTACCCTGGCCTTCGTAGTCATGTGAATGAGTAAACTGTCAGTATTCGGCTGAACATGAAATTGCTGATATTGGCAAACTTTGCCCTATAAATGACAGCCTCTTAGGGTTTCTGTTACTTGCAACCAAGCAAGTCCTGAGGAATGCAGCAGGCTGTCATGGTCACCTCAGCCTCCTCAGCTGTAGAAGGAGGGCTACGGGGTGGTTTCTAACGGGTTCTTCCAGGGGGAAAAAAGTCAAGGTCAAAGCCAGCAGCACCTACTACACACAGCTGGTGCAGATCCACTGTTTAAAATGCACAGTGACTCCATGCAGCAGCCTCACCTAGAGGCGCGGAGGGGGACGCTTGCTGGCGCGCTGGGCCACGAGGCACCCCTCTGCAGGCACTAGCCAGAGGGACGAGGTGGCCCTCACCTATTCGCTTGGTGTCCCCGAAGTCCTCCTCAGGCTCCGTGTATGGCTTCAGCTCCTCGCCCTCGTAGCCGATGTTGATCCACTTGTCTTTCATGATTTGCTGTAGGGATGAGAGGTGTCATAGGGAGCCAGGAATCCACAGCTGGCCCCTCAGCTGGGCCCAGGTGGGGCTGCGTACCCTGCCCAAGGCTGACACCCAGCACCCAGGGATCCTGAGGGCCGGCCCCTCCCCCGCCTCCCGATGCCACCCGCCTGCTCTGCAGCAGCTGGGTCCCCGCACCCTGTAATCATCCAGTAGCTCATTAGCTAATTGCTGGCGTGGCAGGGAGTGGGCGAGGCTGCATGGGGATGGGCTGTGCCTGGGCTCCCCGTCCACCTTAGGCGGGACACTCAGGCAGAGTGTGGGGAGCTGGCCGGAGGCGCAAGGCCAGGCTCACCTCGAGAGTGCAGCGTTTGGCGGGGTTCAGCACCAAGAATCTCCGCAGGATGCTCTCACAGTCGGTGGACATGTAGAAAGGGACCCGGTACTTCCCTCTGAGGACGCGCTCCCGCAGCTCCTGTGGGGACGGGGTTACTGGGGGGGTGGCTGTGTCCCCAGCCCATCTCTCGCCCACACACCCACCTCCCTCCCAACCCTCGGACAGAAGTGACCGCAGCCCCGAGTCCCAGCCCTCTCCCTGACTCAGTTTCTCATCTGTAAAATGGGAACACCGCAGAGACGCAGCAATTTAAAAAAATTATTTTTTAAGACTACAGAGCTCTTCATTCAGGGAGAACCTTGAGGGCGAATTCCGCAAGCCTGGTTAAGGGGAGAGGAGGGCAGGTGAGGGGGCCTCTGGGGCCTCAGTTTCCTCATCTGTGAACAGGGGTCACGATGAAAGCCTCAGCAGTAGCTGCCCTAGGGCTAGTGCTACTTAAATACCAGGCACAGAGTGGGGCCCAGCATGCCCTCCCTGCCTGCCCCCACAGGGCTGGGAGTCTGAGGACCTTCTGGAAGCACACGCGGCCCTGCTTTTTGTTTGTCTGCCTAAGGTCTTTCCGAGGGTCCCCAGCAAGGCTCCAAGGTCAGGAAGCCCAGGCATCCCCTCCCAGGGAGACAGAGCAGGTGGCAGTGGAGTGTGGACAAACAGGAGGCCATGGGGTCAAGCCCGGGGACTGGGCAGGGGAGCCACCTTCCAGGCCGTTCTAACGGGGCTGAAAGAGGGGGCGCCTGGGAAGCACCGCAGGGCTGCAGGCCATGTGGGCCCCAAGGATTGGGAGCACTTAATATAAAGCCACCTTGGAGACCGCTGGCTACCAGCACCACGCACTCAAGACACAAGACACCATCGCCAGGACATCACTGGCCTCCAGTGTGCGATCCTCCTGCCTGAATCGTGGAGGCAGCACCCATTTTCCAGATGAGGACACTGAGGCTGGAGTGGTGGGCCCTTGTCAGAGGCTTAACAGCAGAAAGCAGCAGGGCCTGGTTCCGAGCCAGGAGGCCGGGCTCCGAGCCCGTGCTGTGTAGCCCTAAACCACACTCCTGTCATGTGACCAGAGCAGCAGCCGCCAGGCGTGACGCCTCGGCCAGATGCCAAGTCCTGGTGAGGGCTCCCCAGGCCCAGGCTGGCTGCGAGCAGTCACTCTTCCGTCCCCATCTTACAGGTGGGAAACAGGTTCAGAGACTCGTCCCAAGTCACTCAGAAAGGAAATGACAGAGCTGGCTGGCCGGTGGGGAGACCCGGACAGCGAGAGATGACAAGGGCCTGGAGCAGATGAGAGGCTAGCCTGGCCCTTCCAAAAGGCCTCTTAGCTTTCTGCTTGCTACTCAGAAAAAATCACCCCAAGGCAGGACTCGGTCCAGGCGCCAGGCGCTTCCAGGTGAGTCTTTTCTTGGTACCAGGGATTTGATATCAGGGCGCTTGACCACTGAGCCACATCCCAGCCCTTTTTGTTTTATTTAGAGACAGGGTCTCACTGAGTTGCTCAGGGCCTCACTAATCTTCTGAGACTGGCTTTAAACTCTCCATCCTCCTGCCTCAGCCTCCGGAGTTGCTGGGAGTACAGGTGTGCGCCACCCTCCTGGCTCCCCAGCCCTTTTTATATCTGATTTTGACACAGGGCCTTGCTGAGTTGCTGAGGCCGGCCTCCAAAGTGTGATCCGCCTGCCTCAGCCTCCTGAGTCGCAGGGATGCAGGCATGGGCTGCCACATGAGCTCCAGGTGCATATCTTAATGGTCCTCACTCAACAGAGTGGGAGAGTGAGGCTTACAGGGCTCAGCGGCCTGGGCAAGGCCACCATGAGGAGGGCCCTCCCTGCTCATCACGCAGGCCGCCTCTGACTGCCTGTCCTCAATAAGCACTTGCCTGACTGCCCGATTTCAAACGCCCCACGGGCCACCCTGAGCGAGACAGAGTTCCCAGCTGCAGAATGCCTCCCCAAAAGGTGTGGCCTTGGTCCAGCCAGAGACAGCACCAGGCAATCCAACTGCAAACAAGTGGCCAAGCCGTCTGCCATGCCATGCCAGGGGGACAGAGAGGCTGGCAGCTGCTCAGATGGGGGGACACAGGGACTGGGCACATCTGGAGAGCGTGAGCGAGTCCCCGGCAAGGAGGAAAAATAGCTGTGAGGAGGCTCCTGGTGGGGGGAATCTGAGCGTGGACCATAGGGTGAAGGCCAGGACTGAGCCGCGGATGTATTTCCTGTAGGTGACCATTGTCTGGAGAATGCGCCTGGTCTCAGAAGATAACCCACTGTAGCCTTTGGGAACAAAGGGACACAGTGTCTGCAAGGAGCTGTCCCACAGTCCATCGACAAGGACCAGAGCAACCTCGTCATGTGCCTGTACAGACAGATAGGGCCCGGTGGCCAGGGGCCAGCTCTGCGGCTCTCCCGGGGACCACGTGTTCTGTGTTCTATTCTTGCAACATTTCTGGAGACTGGCAACATCTCAAAACAGAAAGTTCAAAGGAAAAAAAAACACGCAGAGGAAGACGGGGCCCACACGGGCTGCCCCCTTCCAGTGTCTGTCCCCAGCACTGGCCAACACCTGCCACCACATCTCCTCAACTCTTCATTCTGCTTCCTGCCTGGCTCCGCGGCTGGGACATCAGTTCCAGAAAATTTCTTGTTCTGAGCGTCCATCTCGAGGACTTCCAGTAACGTGCTAAGTTTTGCAATCATGGCCACAATCACTGTGAGCACGTTTTCCATCGTTCAGAAACCCTGACCCCCAGCTGTCACCTCCCCTGGCCCACCTGGCCCCTGCCCCAGGTGGACATTTCATAGAAATGAAGCCACACGCTCTGGCCTCATGTCGCTGGCTCTGTCTCTTGGCACAGCGCTTCCAAGATCCCCCCATGGAACGGCAAACACGCGGGCAGGGGCTGCTGCCACTTGTCACGTATTTGCAAAGCCTCGAAGTGACCCTCGTGTCAGAGGTGGATGGCAACTATCTCCTGAGCGAATGAGCGGGCTGAGCCAGGGATTCAAACCGGTCATGAGCCCCAACACAGCACCGGCCTCGTGGACTGGCCGCCTGACGGTGGGGACAGGGTCCCCTGCTCCATCTGGTCATATGACCTCAGCCCCACCCTCTGGTCCCCGCAGGGGTGCAGTGCAGGGGACAGAGTGCGGCCTGATGGTGGGGTGAGATCCCCACACCCAGCTGGGCCCAGCACCTTGAGGTTGTGCCCGTCAAAGGGCAGGGAGCCACTGACGAGCGTGTACAGGATGACGCCAAGGCTCCAGATGTCCACCTCTGGCCCGTCGTACTTCTTGCCCTGGAACAGCTCCGGGGCGGCGTACGGGGGGCTCCCGCAGAACGTGTCCAGCTTCGAGCCCAGTGTGAACTCGTTGCTGAAGCCAAAGTCGGCGATCTTGATGTTGGCCTCGGCGTCCAGCAAGAGGTTCTCGGCCTGGAGCAGAGGAGGAAGGACAGGGCTGGCTCAGCCTGGGGCAGGGGCGCAGCGGGGAGGCCACCAGAGTGTGGTCCATGAGAGCTGCTCGCGCACTGCTCCCTACTCTGTGTGACCTTGGGGAGTGACTTCACCTCTCTGGGCCTGTTTCCTTCTTGGTGGACTCGGGGGATCAGTCCCCACCTCACAATGCAGTCTGAGGACAAAATGAGCAAGTCCACATAAAAGGCCCAGAACAAGACTGGCACCAATGAGAGCTGAGCGGGTGCCACCACCCCATGTGATCTGCAGAGCGGGGGTCTCTGGGAAACCCCCGGCCCCTCCCCGAGACTCAGCTTATCCAGCAGTTAAGAAATGAGAATAAGAGACGGCACAAAATCTATAAAATATGAGTAATTTTATCTATCAGTTGTGTGCCTACTATGTGCCAGGCCCAGTATATAGTAGGGGGGGTAAGTGTGCAGAAAGCCCAGCTCCACTCTCACCAGCTGTGTGACTCTGGGTGGGTGACCCAATCCTATGCCTCAGTTTCCCTGTGTGTAAATGGAGGGTGACGGTGGAGTGGGGTCAACATGAGATGCTTATATTGACAGGAAGTGCGACTCTATCCGCTGGTAGAAGGTTTTATCCTTTTCTTTCTTTCTTGTTTTCTTTTGGAGTGGGGATAAAACCCAGGGATGCTCTACCACTGAGCCACATTGTAAGGTTTTATTTTGAGACAGGGTCTGGCTAAGTTGCTGAGGCTGGCCTTGAACTTGCAATCCTCCTGCCTCAGCCCTGTGAGCCACTGAGATGACAGGCATGGGCCACTGTGCCCCGCAGGCTTTGTCTAATTCTTGAGGAAGGTGGCCTTGTGAATGCCGTTTCCCAGATAAGGACACTGAGGCTCGGGGAGGCCACCTCATGCCCACAGCAAGCCAGCTGGAGCCCCATGGGGCTGGTGGCCACCAGGCCTGAGCATGAGGAGGAGCACCAGATGCTGCTTCTGCCGCCTTTCCACATCACCCACACCTGGCTGTCCCGTGTGAGGTCCTCAGCAGCTCAGGCCACCAGCATGTGCCCTCCTCATGGGCCTCCCTGTGCCTCCTAGCTTCTGTATCACCCTCCCACACCTCCTGCCCCAGCAGGGCTTAGGGAACAAAGGCACCTCACACAGCTCGTCCCAAACCAGAACCCAGCAGCAGCTCAGTCTGGCTCTGGGGTGGCACTTCCCACTGGCGTTTGAAACCCCACAATCCACCTCACCCTCACATCTGGTCCCCTGGTGCACTCACAGGACCATCCAGCAGGGGGCGTGCGGCCTCCAGGTTAGCACCCAGCAGCCCCAGAGCCCTCAGGGCAGAGCCCGGCCCAGGCCTCCTTGCACACAGAGAGCGCCAGAACCTTCTACAGCAATGGGACAGTGGCATTTTATGTGTTTGGCTCGAACAATAATTTTAAAAACAAAGTTTGCCCTTTGTATATCCTTTTTTCATCTCATTTTTTCCTGCAATTAATTTTTATCAGATTTTATAAAAGCACCTGTCCGCAAGAGTTTTTTTAAATGGGGGTCTCTGGGTTTCTCTGGCAGGCCTCAAACTCCTGGGTTCAAGGGATCCTCTTGCCTGGGTCTCCAGGACAAAGATTTAAAAAAAAAAAAAAAAAAGGTCCTTCAACCCTGAGCTGACAGAGAGGTTCCCCAGGCCCTGGCCTGTGGCCTGGCACACACTCAGGCGCCCACTCCAGCCCGGGACCTGCCAGTCTCAGCTGAGAAGCCCAGTCCCTACAGGTCCCTCTGAGTGGGGTGTGTATCACCCCCGGGACAGAGGCACATAAGGGACTGCAGGCTCAGCTCAGCAGGTAGCTGGGGTCCGGCCAGATGCATCCCTGTCCTGCCCACCGCTGGCCCCATGGCTTCTCTCCAAGGCCCTTCTCAAGTTCCAAGATCCCTGATTCTAAGACCCTGCAGGGCGTGACTCTGGGGACCTAAAACCTCTTCTCAAGGATTCCTAAATGGTCTCGAGTCTGAGGCCCAAGTCCTGAGGCTCTAAGAGGGACAGACTACTGTGTCCTGCTGTCCCCGTACAGTAGGATACTCTATTTCTCCCTGGATGACTCCCACCCCCTCCACCAGCCTTGCTTGACCTCAAAAGCTTGTGCAGAGAGCCCAGCTCCACTAGGGAGGCGCCAGGGGACATGCTGGGGGGGAGAGTGGCCAGGCTAGGGGCCCTGCGGTCACAGCGGGCTGGGGGCTTACCTTCAAGTCCCTGTGTACAATGTTTTTCTGGTGACAGTAGTGCACGGCCGATACAATCTGCAGGGGAGAAGGTTTGTTACTTTTGGCCCTAAGTGGTCAGCCTCCCTCAGTGGCCTGTGAAGCCGATCACCACCAAGCCCCTGGTTCTATCCTCCCCTGGGTGCAGGCCAAGCCCCTGGAGCCTTATGCCTACTTCTGTCACAGTGGGAGATGTTGTGGGACCTACTAAGACATTTGCACTAGGATGCGTGACATTTTCACACTCAGACATCTAGACACTGTCACACACAGGGACTCAGATTGAAGACGTCAAGGAGGAGCCCTCTTCCGACTTACTCCTGGGAGCTCCCGTGAAAGGGTTATGAACCTGGAGATGGACACTGTCCCAACTCACCAGGGCTTAGGCCCCTCACACCCAGGACAGGGCAGCTGGACAGTCCCTAGCTGATGCCTGCACGCTCACTGGCACACTCAGCCACGCACGTCCTGCACACCCACACCAGAGCTCAGCACACCTGCAGCCCTCTCCGCAAACCAACCCCACACCCGGCCCCCCAACCCACGGCCTACTCCACTGCGCATGCGCACGCCCACAGCTGGGCACGCCCAGCCGGCCCACGGCCCACACCTGTGCACCTGGGCCTGCGCCCGGGGCCAGCACTCCCTCCTGCCCACCCAGCCGAGCACCTGCGACCGGTATCCACACACCCTCGGTACATCTGGGGACCCGGCTCTGCACCCTCACTTGAGCCGCATCCCCAAGTCACTGGGCAACCCTGACCACAGCTGGCCCCAGGTCCTAGCCTGGCCCCTGACCTGTCGGAACTTGGCTCGAGCTTCCTTCTCCTTCATGCGGCCGTGCGACACGAGGTAGTCAAACACTTCTCCTGCGGGGCAGAGGCCAAGGGGGTCAGGGCAGGCGGGAGCGCGCGGGGCGGGGCCGGGGGGCGCGGGGCGGGGCGGGCCTCACCGGCACTTGCGTATTCCATCACCAGGTACAGTGTCTTCTCCGTCTCGATGACCTCGAAGAGCTTCACTGCCGTGTGGGGGAGAGGAGAGCACAGGGTTAGGTGGGAAGGGGACGCCCCTCCACCCTCCACCCTCCACCGGGACTCGAACGATGAGGATGTGCCAACCACAACAGCCCCCCACTCCAGAACCCTCAACGGCTCCCTACTGGCGGGAGGTTTTCCAAACTGGTCAGCCCCACTCTGCGTCTCTCTCTCTCTCTCTCTCTCTCTCTCACACACACACACACACACACCAGCTGGGCGAGGCCAGGGCTTAGTCCGCTTTCTTTACTGCTCCCTGGCACTGGCACACAGCAGCCACCCAGTATTTATGGAGTAAAAGATGGATCAACAGATGCTGCAAGGCCAGACCCTGCGGCTCTCAATAAGACCCCTCTGTCGCCTCCCTGCCTAATAATGATAATGACAACGATGCTCCCGATGAAAACAGATCAGATCCCAAAGCTCAGCCCTGAATGAAGCATTCTGGATGCATGAACTTATCCACTCCTCACAATGACCTTGAAATAGGTTTTTTATCTCCCTCACTCTAGAGGAGGCAACAGGCTCAGAGAGGTTGAAGTCACACAGCACTGACGCCACTGTGAGGAACCAGGTCTAAGTGCTGTAACCCTGGTCCTTCTTCCCCCAGTTCTCTCCTTTCCCATGAGCTCCAGTTGGTGGCCTGCCTCGGAGCCCACCCCTTCCCCTCCTCACCGATGTTGGGGTGGTTGAGGCCCTTCATGATGCGGACTTCTCGGAACAGCTGTCAAGGCCAGAAAGGAAGACAGAGAAGAGTGAGGGGGAGGGTTTGGGGGCTGGGCAGGTCACCCGGCTGTCCCTGGAAACTGGCTCCGGCCCTGCTCCCCTTCCCTGGGCCTCACCTTCTGCAGACTGCTGGGGTTGAGCTGGGTCTTGTCAATAATCTTGATGGCAACCTAGAGGGAGAGGAAGGGACAGATCAGGATTCCTTGGGCCCTTGACACGGGGAGGTCCCCAACTCTGATCACCCTGGATGCCTCTTCTCAGAGAAGCCCTCTATCCAGGCCATTTCTAGAGGATGAGGACCTTGGCCAGGGGCACACACATACAGTCCCCCATCTCCAGTGCCACACTTACTTCTGCAGGTAAGTATCCCCCATTCCATGGCGAGACCCCAAAGAGGCTGCTCCAGGGTCTGTGTGTGCAAGGGTGATCAAGATCTCAGGGCTTTTACCCACCCCATCCTTTTTTTTTTTTTTTTTTTTGAGGTACCTGGAGTGGTCTACCACTGAGCCATATCCCAGTCCTTTTAATTTTTTGAGACAGCATCTTGCTAAGTTGCTGAGACTGGCCTCAAACTTGAACTTGCAGTCCTTCCGCCTCAGCCTCCTTGCTGGGATCACAGATGTGTGCCACCACACCCAGCCCATCACATCTTTGTTCAAAGATGAAATGGTAAATAACAACTAGCTCACTTTACTCCCACACACTGGACACCAGGCCCTGGTCTGTATGATGCACAAATGGGACCTCTTCACCCTCACAGCAACCCCACAGGAGGAGTGCCAGGACCACTCCCATTCACAAATGGGAATCCGAGCTGGGTGCAGTGGCAAATGCCTGTAATCCTAGCAGCTCAGGAGGCTGAGGCAGAAGGACAACAAGTTTGAGGCCAGCCTCAGCAACTTAGCAACAGCCTGTCTCAATTTTTAAAAAAATAGGGGCTGAGGTTGTAGCTCAGGGGTATAGTGCTCCTGGGTTCAGTCCCAGGTACCAACAAAAACAAAAACCCACAAATGGGAAACCGAGGCATGTCACTTGGTCAAGGTTATGCAGCTTAATAGTCTTTTAAACTCTTTAAACCTTTAAAGATTTTTTTTTAAAAAGGTCTTTGAGGCAGTCCTCAATGGGGAAAAGAATTCAAATATTATTGAACTTTACTTATTTTACAGTTTAGTTTCTATTTTAAATCACACATTGGGATAGAACCCCATGCGCTTTTCCAATGAGTGGCTTAAAAAAAAAATCCTAATCTAAACCAGGCAGCGGGGCACAGGCCTGTAATCCCAGCAATTTGGGAGGCTGAAGCAGGAGGATCCCAAGTTCAAGGCCAGCCTCTGCAACTTAGCAACAGCCTGTTTCAAAATTTAAAACAATAGAGGCTGGGACTGTAGCTCAATGGTCGGGTCGACGCTTGCCTAGCACAGTGAGGCACTGGGTTCGATCCTCAGCACCACATAAAAACAAATAAATGAGATAAAGATTAAATTCTAAAAAATTTTTTAAAAAAAATAATAAACAACAAGGACTGGCAGGTCACTGAGTGGTAGAGAAACCCCGAGTTCAATCCCCAGTACCCACCCAGTCTTCCTCTAGCCCCAGGTCCGTAGTTCTCCCACAGGGTTCCGGGCCACCCCCAGATACACTAGATTACAGAGCTCTTTCCCTGGGAGCCTCATTCCCTTATAATCCAGGCCTCTCAGAAACCTCTGGAACCACGTGCAGGATCCACATATGGTGAACTACATGTTCTGTGTGGGGGAGAGGGTCCCTTAGCTTTCCTCATATTCTCACGAATAGATTTTTAAAAATTTTGTCAAACACTTTTCATGCCAGTATTGAGAAGATCATATGGTTTCTCTCCTTTAATCTGTGAATGTGACGAAGTGCGTGAATAAATTGTCAAATGGAAAAGAACTCTGCATTCCTGGGATAAACCCAGCTTTGTTATCGCACCGCTTTGTTCCACTCATCTGCCGATGGTTCTATTTGCTAATATTTTGTTTCAGGTTTTTGGTTTGAGGCCAGCTTGGCCAACACACTGAGACCCTGTCTCAAAAAAATAAACAAGATTTTTGTACCTACATTCACCAGTAAGCTTGGCCCATAATTCTGTTCTGGTCTGGTTTGGCTCTTGTGGCTACGCTGGCACATACAAATCTGTTGGGGGGGTTGGGGACGTGGCTCAGTGGTAGAGCACGTGCCTAGCAAGCGTGAAGTGCTAGGCTCCATCCCCAGCACTGTGCGCGCGCAGGCTCACCATGCACACACCCCACACACCCTTTGGGCAGCAGAGCCTCTTTGTTCAGACTCTGGAAGAACTGGCATGACATCTGAATGTTAGGTAGAATTTGCCCATAAAACCATCGGGGCCTGGAGTCTTTTGTGCCTATGCCATAGGCTGCCTAGGGGCAGGGAGAGTCCATGCCCAGCAGGACTTCAGCCACCAATTCCATAGTTGCAAAGAGCCCAGAGGAAACCATGAAACCACCCACGGTCTTTTTTCCCTTTAAGCATGCGCCTCAGCTCTCCTGTGTGGCTGGAGGTTTGCACAGCTCTTTCTGCAATAATGTTTGCAGGTAGGACTCCTCACTGGGGGCATGGGGGACGGGACTTGGCGGGGCAGGACTCTGGGGGGGCAGGACTCTGGAGAGTGAGGCCAAACTTGAATAAAGTCAGTGTGTTCTCAAGATCTCCAGAAGACTTGGAAGAGCCCAAGCCACCACTAAGGCCATGAGGTGGCCCAGGAGCACGCAGAGGCCACGTGCAGGGCTCTGCCCGCCGTCCCATTTCCTGAGTTTCGGGAAGGCCTGAAGTTGGTTTTCTCTGGGCACTGGGGTTGTTTGGGTAAACTCTGAGAGTCAGGGACCCACCTGAGGTCATAAGGCGAAGCGCGGCCAACCCTGAGCTCTCTGGAAACTCTGGTGCGGCCCACCTGTGCCCACTCACCTCCCGCCCGGTGAGGATGTGCCGGGCCAGCTTGACCTTGGCGAAGTTGCCCTTCCCGATGGTGCGCAGCAGGCGGTAGTTGCCCACGTGGGGCTGCTCCTCGGGGCAGGAGGCGATGGAGTTCCGGCAGCGGGCACCCAGGGAGCGGCTGGACCAGGACGGTCCTTTGTCTGAAGATCGGCCACTGCCCAAGGTGCCATGCTGGGCGGGGGAGACGAGCGTGAGCGGCCGACCCCGCCCCCAGCGGCACCTGTGGCTGGGCAGTTCTCGAGGGCCCTGGCCCTGGCCCCTTGTGGCCCTTTTCCAACTCGGGCTGCAGAGAACCACATCCCCTCGGGACCCTCCATTTGTATACAAGAGGCTCCAGGAACAAGAGGGAAGGCCCGGCTCTGCAGCATCCCGGCCTCAGGAGCCAGCCTCTGCAGTCTCACTGGGACTCCAGTTTATTCTAAATGCTGTGACCCTCAACCCAGTCAATGACATTCCACCCCGACCACCACAGATCCTGATGTTCGGCTTCATCCATAACTGCCCAGCTGCAGCCCTCCAATTCTGCTCCACACCCAGACATCAGCCCGATGGCCAGACATTGGCGCTAGTCCCCCCTCACCCAGTGTTGCCTGCTGTGGTTCCAGTTACCCGTGATCAACCACAATCCGAAAATGTTAAATGGAAAATTCCAGTAATGAACATTTTGTAAGTTTTAAACACCTTTTATTATACTATATTATAATTGTCCTATTAGTAGTTATTTCTTTATTTGGTGCTGGGGATTGAACCCAGGGGGGCTTAACCACAAAGCCACATCCCCAGCCCTTTCTTATATTTATTTTGAGACAGGGGCTTGCTGAGTTGCTCAGGGCCTCACTAGGTTGCTGAGGCTGGCTTTGAACTTGCCATCCTCCTGCCTCAGCCTCCCAAGCAGCTGGGATTACAGGTGGGCACGACCAAGCCCGGCAGTGGTTATTATTAACCTCTTACTGTACCTAATTTATAATTGAACTTGAACATGGGTACGTATGTGCCGGGTTTGCCTTATCCCCCATACCAGGTGTCTCCTGGAAGTCCTGGAACGTGTCCCTGAGCACCCAGAGGGGACTGCTGAGTCCCATCATCCTCGCCCCAGTTCTACTCCAAGCCTTCCTTTCGCCCCAACAGCCTGGCCCAGCCACCGAGACCCGCCCGCCACGGGAAACACTGTTTCGTCCTCGGGCTGCCCTCACCACCCTTCCCCGCCATCTCCCACGCCCTCACTCCTCTGTCCCCAATGTTCTGTTCCTGCCATCTTGTCCCTCCCGGGCTCCCTCCCCCACAGGTCACCTGCCTGCTCCGAGTTGCCCTGTCCTGGATTGTGAGCCCCAGGGACCGTGGCTCCCTTTCAGGGCTGGGCCCAGCGTGTCAGAGGCTCAGCCAAAATGGCTCTGCTCAGTCCTTACCGTCCCCGTGCCCTCTCAGGGCCAGAGGTAGGAATCAGAGGACAGAGGACGCCGAGGAGGACAGGCCAGGTAGCCAATGGGCTGGGGGCCCTGACTGCTCCTCACAGGGACTCCCTGCCAGGCCACCTTGCAGTGACGACCAACATTTCATTAACGTGGCATGACGCCCGCACAGCAGTGTCCCCCATTCTACAGGAGGAAACTGAGGCCCAGGCCGGGGTCCCAGCCCAGCCAGCTCCTGCCCACACTCCCACGCCGCCCGCCCCTACGGCGAGGCACAGGGCGGCCCAGCCTCAAGCGGCGAGCAGCTCCCCACGCCTGACACCCAAGCCTGGTGAGGGGCACCTGCACCTCCCTGCGCCAGAGGAGCTGAGCCCTGGAGAGGGAAGGGGCTGGGCAAGGTCACACAGCTCATTCACAGGGGGCAAGAAGACAAGGTCCTCAAGCCTGGGCAGGAGCCACCTCCAGGGCTGCCACTCCAGGCACATGCCTGGCAGGCGGGCCCTCCCCCGGCCTCCAGCGGGGGCCAATAAGACATGCATTCTCCAGGCAGGGACCCCAGAGTCCCCGCGGCTCAGGGGGGAAGAGCACCTGCCCAAGGTCACAGGGCAGGTGAGTGGAGTAGCTGGGATCCGAACCCAGAGCGCTGACCCCAGCGCTGCTCCAGCCCAGGCCTCCTCCCAGGGGAGGGGAAGCCCTGGTGACAGGGCACTAAGATGAGGGCTAGGAGGCCGCAGGGGGCCTGTCAGGGGGCACAAGTGAAGGTGGGATGGCACCCACGGAGGCAGCACTGCTGAGGGACCCCTGGGAGGAGCAGCTGGGGCAGTGGTGACAAAGCCCCCAGGAGTTGGGAGCAGGAGCTGAAACTGCCCCATCTCTCCCACCGAAGCCAGGCCTGCTGCTCGGGAACCTGGGAGGCTGACCCCTGGTGGGGCCTTAGACCTTGGGGGGAGAGCATAACCCGTGGCTGTTACCATGGCAACCAGATAGAAGAGGGGGCTGCCACCTCAGATCCCAGAGGGAGACAGGTGGTTTCCAGACAGGGGACAGGCAGGCCTCACTGTCTGGAGTGGTAGGACAGGAGCGAACCAGCCATCCTAAGTCCCCACCAGGCACAGATCACAACCACCAACACAAGAGGAAGTCCTGGTATCAACCCCATTGTACAGACACGGAAACTGAGGTTTGGAGGTCACACAGCCAGGGAGGAAGAGAAACCTAACTGGAACCCGAGTTTATCTGAATAATTTAAGCAGCAAAAATGACAATGAGCATCCTCCTGAAAATCTCCCGGCAGGGAGGTGCCAGCGTCAGCCCCCTGAGAGTCGGGGAAACTGAGGCTGGAGCAGGCTCTGCAAGCTCCCGCAACGACTAATGACAGGCCTGGGTACGAGTGCTTGGCCTTCTGACTCATCTCCACAGTCGCACAGTGGCCAACATCAGAGGAGCGCTTCACCCACATTGCCTTGATAATCCTCTGAGGGACCCAATGGTCACCCCAATTTTCCAGGTCAAGAAACTGAGGCTCAAAGAGGAAGAACCAGTTTTCTGAGGACACAGAGCAAACCAGCATGCAGAGCCACACTAGGACCCAGAACCAGGGGCCAGGTTCCTCCCTGGTACCTCACTGTAGTGAATGGGAAGGGAGGCGGGTGGCCTTGGCCAAGATTCCAAACTGCCCACCGCAACAATGGAGTGGGGCATCTCTGGAGGAAGGGCCCTGCAGGATAAAGAAGGGAGGGACCTCTGGAGGGGACCTGGGGTGGCAGCAGAGGCCTGGGGGGCAGGTACAATGACCCTAGTAGAAAAGGAGTCTGGGCTGTTTGGTGGCTGGTCTTTAGGAATCAGGAAGGGGCTCACTGGGACTGTCTGGACCATGGTGTAGTGACAGAGGGGCCTGGGGAGGGGGAGAGGGCTGGAGCTACAGGGGCGGTGGAGGTCTGAGGCCAGGAATCCCTGGGCCAGGGCCCAAGCCTTGGGGAAACTCCCAGAAATGGAGAGGGGGAGCTTCTAGGAGCAGTCCTTGAAACTGGACAGAGGCCTGGGGGCCTGGAAGTGTGGGGAAGGGGCTCCCCGGGTAAGAGCGCCTAGAGCAACAGGGGCTGAGCCCTGTGGGCCACCAAGAGGCCTAGGAATCTGGGGAGAGTGCTTCCAGCAGTGACCCCAAGAGAAGAGGGCTTCGAGCCAGGAGGGCAGGACCAGAGGCTTTGTGTCCAGGAGCCTTCTGGAAGCCAGTCTACGGGAAGCTAGTCCTTTGAGCTTTGAGTCAGAAGCTGAGGAGGGGCTTCCTTGGGAGACAGACCCCTGGCAAGGAAAGGGGAGGCCCTGGGGCAGGAGAAGGGAAGGGTCTGGAACTCCAGGGGAAGGGTTGGTGCCACAGAGGGAAGGGGCCTAGCCCGGGCGCAGGCGGAGGTCAGGAGGTTGGGGGCTTGGGGAGGGGGCTTGCCTGGAGCTGAGGAGCAGATACAGGGAGGATGAGGCCTGGAGTCAGACTGGTCCAGGGCCTAGAAATCCGAGCCAGGGCTGGGGGCCTGGAGTTGGGAGGCCAAGGCTTCCTGAGAGAGGAAGAGACCAGAGAGGGTCCAGGTGGCACCTGGGGGAGGGGGCAGGGGAGGTGGGGAATCCAAGGACAGGGCTGCTTGGCAGAGGAGCACCAGGCCTGGGAGTAGAGAGACCTTGAAGCCAGAAAGGGCCCTGGGCCTGGGCAGGTGGCACCCGGCTCGAGAGAAGCTGCCCACAGGGGCGGTGGAGCCCGGAGGGCTGGGGCCAGAGGAGGGGGCCTGGGCGGCGGTGCCGGACCGGCGAGGGCCGGGGCAGAGGCAGGGCTGGGCGGCCTTGCTGGGAGAGGGCCAGGGCTGGGCCTAGGGGGTCAGGGGCCCTGCAAATCCAGGAAGGGGCGAGTGGTCGGCCGCGGAGCCGGGAGGGGAAAGGGCTGAACAGCCGGGAAGGGAGGGGCTCGTGGGAGGCAGGGGAGGGGGCTTCCTGGAGGGAAGAGACGAGCGGAAGCGGTCTCCAGAGGGACCGGAGAGGGGTCCCGAGAGAGGGGCGCCCCAGGGGTCAGGCTGGGCCGAGAGGGGAGAGGACAGAGAGGCCTGGAAGTCGGAGGGGGCCAGGGGCTGGCGAGCCGGGTCGGGCCCGGGAAACGAGGGCAGGGGCTCGCGGGGCGAGGGGCACGACCCGGCGACGGGATCGGTGGCTGGACCCAGCCAGGGCTCCCCCAGGGGCCGGGCCCCACTCACCGTGTCCGAGTTCCGATCGTTGCCCGGGGCCAGCGCCGTCCGCGAAGACATCTTCTCCGGGTCCCAGGGGGCAGGGGCGGCCGGGTGGGGGGGGGGGGGGATCCGGGGGTCCCCTCTCTTCCCCTCCCCCCCCGCCGGCCTGGGGACGCGAGCTCAAAAGCTGGGCGCCGTGGACGCCCAAGTCCGCGCCGCGGGAGAGGGGGCAGGGCGGGGGAGGGGACACCGAGGGTCCTAGTGGCCCCGTGCAGTGTGGGCCCGGGGCGCCATGGGGGCGGCCGGCAGGCCGGCGGGCGGGCGGGGGCCGGGGAGGGGGCGCGGAGCCGGCCCGGGCGGCGGCGTAGGGAGGCGACCGAGGGGCTGGGGAGGAAGGGACGTCAGGGGGAGGGGCGGGCAGGGCGGGGCCGTTGAGACCCCGCCCCCGCCGCCGGCCCTTAAAGGCGCAGGCCCGGGCTGGCTGGGGGCGCTGGGGGCGGAGGCAGGTTTGGGCGCGCTGACTGGGAGCAAGTTCTCACAGGAAAGCCGAGACTCACCGGAAAAGAAGGGGAGAGAAATGTTGAGGCGGAGCGCCAGAGACGCTCCGAAAGATGCCGAGAGATGGAGAGATAGAGAGATAGCAACAGAGATAGGGAGGCACAAAGAGACCGCGAGAGGCGGAGGCAGAGCCCGAGGGAGGGAGAAACCTAGAGACACAAAGAGGTGAACAGAGAGGCAAAGGACAGAGACCAACACCGAGGACAGAAAGAGGGGGAAACGCAGGGAGGAAGAGAGGGTGAGAGGTACAGAGAGAGACACGCGGAGAAGGACAAAGAGTCCCGTACCCCGAGACAGAAAGAGAGCAGAGACCTGGGAAGAGAATGGAGATAAGGAGACAGAGCAGAGACGCCCCGGCCCCTCCGAGAAGCAGGCCCCAGGCAGAGGCGCGCCCACCCCCACATCCTCGCCCAGGCGCCGTGTCCGGGTGCTCGGGGTGTGGGGGGGTCTTAGGGCACGGGAGGGTGGGACAGAATGGCGGGGGGACCTGGCCACCGCAGAGGGCTGGCCAGCCTCTCTAGTACTGCCGTCCAACCCCCTGAAAACCCCAGACCCCAAGAGGTGTCCTCCAGTGTCCTCTGCACCTCCGCTGGGGTCTGAGGACCCTCTGTCTATCCGCACGACCCCGAGCAGGCACCCGATCTTTCCAGGGCTCCCTCTCCCGGGCTATAAAATGAGGGGTTGGGTCTGCATGTGACCTCCCTGGCCGGGCTGAAGCAGGTGCGGAGGAACCCTGCACAGGTGCATAGCTGCAGGGCATGCTGCTCTCTGGGTGGAAAAACAGAACAGAGACGGCAAGAGCTTTGCCTATGGGAACCGCGGGGAGTCCTCTAGACCAGGGTGGGATGACAGCAAGAGCAACACCACTTGTTCTGTTCCTAGAATCACACGCCCTGGGAGGAGGTCTGTGTCCTGCCTCCAACTGTCGGAAAGTCTGCTCACCTTCCTGAACCTCAGTTTCCCTTTCTGAAAAACAGTTTTGTTTTTTTCTGAAAAACAGATGTTTCCAACAGTGTGCTGGAGCTAGCTCAAGCAAGCTGATCATTACAGTCTCAGGAATTTTGGGATGGTTGTTAACCATGGCCATTATTAAACATTAAATTATGCAAACATGCAATTAAATAAATTATATTAAAAACAAAGGTAATATACACTCATACATTCTAATTATTTTGCTCCGTTTTCCCATATTCTATGATCCTGTGGTTCTTTACCTATTGTAGCTGTTTGATGAAGCTGCTGTGTGGGAGTGGGCTACTATGTATCTCTTCCCAAAAATGCTTTCTGGGGCTGACCTTGGTAGCTTGAAATTAGTAGTGGGGATTCTTACATAATGGAAATTGCCAAGTGTTACATACAAATCCTCCTCCTCCCCCCAGCAAGTTGGTCATTGAAGATTTCCCAGCATGTCTCTGGTTGAGATCTTCATCCCTGTAGATCATGGAGACCTCTCCCATGCCAGGCCCTGAGCACTTGATCCTTTCTGCCACCCCATGGGGTAGAGGTCAACTCTATCAACCCATTTGTAGATGAGGAAACAGAGGTCCCAGGAAGACAAATCACATGCAGAAACTGACGGGCAGTGAGTGGTAGGACTGGGATTGGAACCCAGCTGTCTCCCAACTCCAGAACTTGTGCTTTTAACCATGATGGTTTCCTGTTTCCGGATAATAACAGCAGCAACTGCAGTGTGCAACCAATCCAGGAGAATATCTAAAGTCAAGTGCTTCCCGGGAGCTGGATTAGAACTTCATTATTATCAGAATTCAGCACGTGAAGCCTAAGGAGTATTAAAGATAGAGGCAAAGGCGGTGGGGGAGAGTTCAGGATGGGTTCTAGAAGCTTAGTGATCCCAAAGCTCTGTGGGGTGATGAGTGGGATCCTGGGGTGGAATAAGGGGGTCAGACACCACCCACCTCCCCCAAGCCCTTCCCAGTCCTAGCCCAGACAGCTGCAGTCCTCCCGTGGACCACACGGGGGCAGCACATGCCTCCCCACACCTGCAGGACACACTTTGGGGCCCACCCCTGTGCCCCATTCCTCAGAACTGTTCCCACCCCATTTCCAAGATGGGGAAAAGTGAGGCCTACACAGAGAAAGGCTACAAAGTAGATGAACCTTGAAAACATATGTTTAGTGAAAGAAGTCAGATCCAAAATGATTCCATTCATAAGAAATGTACAAAATAGACAAATTCTTAGACAAATCCTAGTGGTTGTCAAGGGTTGAGGGGAAAGAGGGCTGGGAGTGCCTGTAATGGGTACAGGATTCCTTGGGGAATGATGGGAATGTTCTGGAATTAATGGTGATGCTTGCAGCTTCCTTGTGAATAAACTAAAACCCACCGAATTGTATGTTGCAAAGGGCAAATTTTGTGCTATGTGAGTATAGAGTTCAAACAAATTTTAAAATTAAAAAAGAGCGGGCAGGGGATCTGACAGTGGTCACAGCCCACGATGGGCCACTGGTGACCCAGGACCTCCTGCAGAGGCTGCCGGACAGTGGGGGGGGCGAGGCCTGCTCCTTCCCCTCCTGCTCCACCACCCAACCAGCCCTTCCCCCACAGACTATTGTCCTTGGAGTGGGGCCTTCAGACCTTGGAATCTTAACCCCTGACCCACTTTCCCTAGCCTCAGTGTCCACTGAGCTCAGAGAAGAACTGCTGACCATCTGCAACCACAACCTCACCCCGGCCAGTGAACACTTGTTCCAGGGTGAACACTGACTAAACCTAGAAACAGCCTTGGCCTGCTCTTGGTGGTAGAGAGCTTGCCTGGCCTGCAGGAGACCCCAGGTTCCATCCTCAGCAGCCCCCCCCCCACACACACACACAGGAAAAGACCCTAGCTGGGTGCAGTGGCCCACGCCTGTAATCCTGGTGGCTCGGGAGGCTGATCCTCAACTGGAGTTCAAAGCAAGCCTCAGCAACTTAAGGAGGCCCTAAGCAACTCTAATAAATATATATACTTTTTAAAGGCTGGGAATGTGACTCAGTGGTTAAGTACTTGAGGTTCAATCCCCTGAACAAAAAAAAAAACACACCTGACCCCCACATCCAACCCTACCCCCTCCCATCTCAGACCTAACCACACACTTCCTGCCGCCGTGTCCACCACCAGCTCCCTGGCAGGAGGAGCATCCCCAGAACCACCTCCGACCTCAATCCCAGTGTGTCCCACAACAGGTGCATTCTGCGTTCACGAACAGGTCTTTATCTAGTGCCTACTGTGGACCATGAGCACGGTGGACTGAGTCTGCTTTGCCACGTTGACATTGGAGCAGGAGAAGCAGGGCAGGCACATCTGATGGTTTCAGGAGCCCACAGATCAGCAGGGGCCTGGCAGAGAGGGGCTGGGCAGCGGGGAGTCTGGAACTGAGACTAGGAAGACGGCGAAGGTGGGGGCCGGGCAGTTTCCTGGGCAAAGCAATAACCCCCCCAGGCCCAGCACCCACCAGACCAACAGGGCTTCCTCCCAGTCTTCACCTCACAACGGGAGACCCCAGAGCGTGGGGGGCTCCTCTGGAAATGCCCACCAGCTTCTCTGTCCAAGGCCTCAGGCTTTGCTTGGGCTGGAAAGAGGTTTTGGGCTCCAGTCCAGGGCGGGGTGTCTCCCTGGGGTGCCCAGGATGGTGTTGTCACCTCGGGAGGCGTGAAGAACAGGCAGGGGGCGGGTGGATTCCGGCCTGGGGCAGGGGGGGCGGTGAGGGTGGGGGACGGCTGTGGGCCTGTCCTTCCCAGGCCAACCGCAGCCTGCCTAAAAGGGCAGACAGATAATGAGTCCTTCCCGCCCCTGGCCCCAGAGAGGGAGGGGTTTCCTGACAGGAAATTGTCCTCCTCCAAGCCACCCCCCCCAGATCTAAGCTCTCAGCAGCCCTGGCCCAAGTAGCCTGGGGACAGGACAGCAGTGGGGACACAGAGACAGGCACCGAGGACAGAGGTGAGTGTGCAGCAGGGAGGGGGACACACCCTGGGGTCCCTTCAGAGAAGAAGCACAGCCCAGAGGTGGGCTGGACTGGTGGCCATTGCCACCTGCACCTTGAACCAAGAAGGGGCTGGGGGCCAAGAGTGGCCTGGCGCTGGTGGGTGCCAGGGGGAGGGCAGAGGAGACGGGCAGGAGGAAGCTCGCCCGAGGCCTTGGGGGCTCCGGGGGCCTTGGAGAGCCCCAACCCACTGCTGGGGGCCAGACGAGACCCTGGGTCAGATGTGCTCTGAATGCAGATGGGAAGACTGAGGCCGGGAAGGCACGGCGTCTCCCGAGATGGGACACAGCATCGGCCAGGCTTGGAGACGCTGAAGATGAGATTGTGTTTGGGCGAGGATTAGATTGGGGTGGTATCATGGGCTTCGGGCTTGGGGACATGTGACCTGTGAGGACAGCGCTCCAATGTAGATGCTGGGGACTAGATAGTGGCGGAATCTGCAAACAGAGGTGAGGGTTGCTGTGGAGGATTGGGGGCAGCGAGGAAGAGGAGGAGGGGCCCAAAGAGGGAAGCTCTGGTGGCCGAGACATCCTGCGGGGGAGCCAGCCGGGAGGCAGGGGGCTTGCTTGCGGGATGCCTCGGAAGTGAGTCAGGGGCCCCGGCACTGGAGGCGACAGGGCACTGGAGAGGGCAGGATGTCGGGAGCCAGCTTGCAGAGGCCAGTGCTGCAGCCAGGAAGGGGGCAGTCAGGACCCGTTGGGGGCAAGCCTTGATGCTGTGTTTGGGGAGTGTTGGAAATAATTTGGGGGGGGGTACTGGATTCAGTCTGGGGGGATATAGGAGCTGGCCGGGGAGTGTCAAAGCTAGTTTGGGTCAGGCGTGATGGCCCACGCCTATAATCCCAGCAGCTCAGGAGGCTGAGGCAGGAGGATCACGAGTTTAAAGCCAACCTCAGCAAAAGCGAGGCACTAAGCAACTCAGTCAGTCTCTGTCCCTAAATAAATACAAAATAGGGCTGGGATGTGGCTCAGGGTTGAGCGCCCCTGAGTTCAATCCTTGGTACCAACAAAAAAGCTAGTGTGTGGGCAACATTGACCTTAGTGGAGCCTGCTCTCATGGGGGTGAGGGGTGGAGACAGTTTGCAGAGATGTGGGAGGCAGTTTGGGGGGATGATGGACGAGGAAGATGAGAGAAATCAGCACCTGGGAACAGTGCTGTACTTGGGGGTGGCGTTGAGTGCACGCAGACACGGGGGGCTCCCAGCAAGGGGTTGCCGTGATGACTGCCCACCCTGGGGGCAGGGGACTATGGAGACTAAAGGTGTTTCTAGAAACAGAGAGGTTAAGAAGCACCAGCTGAAGTCCAGAGACTGAAATGTGGGAAGGAGGGGTCACTACAGATAGAGGTACTCTGTGCCCAGCCCAGCCCATCAGGACCCCAGCACCTGGCCGCTCATGCATCTGTGCACGCTGCACTATGCTGACCCTGTCCCTCATGTGCACAGAACCCTGTGACCATTAAAAACAACCCTTGGGCCGCATGTGGTGGTGCCCGCCTGTACTACCAGCAGCTTGGGAGGCTGAGGTGAGAGGATCTCAAGTTCAAAGTTCTCAAGTTCATCCTCAACAACTTATTGAGGATGTAAGCAACTTAATTAGGCCCTGATGAAAAACAAAATAAAAAAATAATGAAATGGGCCCAGTGTATGGTAAAAGCCCCTGGGTTCAATCCCAGTACAGAACAAAACAAAAACTACAGGTCAGCAATATGAGAACCGGTGAACGTCTGATGCTTTATTTAACTGCGTCTCGTCATAGTGACACAACGGAACATCATACAGCTCTTAAAATAAATGGTGGACGTGAGTAAATCCCACAAGTTTGTAGTTTGAACAAAAGAAAAAAAAAATCAGCTGGGCAGGGTGACCCATGACTGGAGTCACAGCCACTTGGGAGGCTTAGACCAGAGGACTACTGACCCCAGGACTTTGAGGCCAGTCCAGTCAAGTGAGACCCCATCTCAACAAAACAGCAGCAACAAAACTCCATTAAGTTGCAAGATACAAGTGGGTAATTTAAAGTGGCTGAAACTATGTGAGGCAAGACATTATTTCTGAATGCATGGGGCAGGAGATCCAAGTCTACCTGATGGAGGGACAGCACCTTTCCACTTCCTTGGGAGAAGGACTAGATGGAGGGGGACCCAGGAGAGGGGTCAGGGAGTGGCTGTGTACTTGTCCCCCCATACACACACTCACTGCATCTGTGAGGCAACTTTTTTGGTACCCACGATTGAACCCAGGGGCGCTAAACCACTGAGCCACATCCTCAGCCCTTTTTATTTTTTACTTAGAGACAGGGTCTCGCTGAGTTTCTTAGGGCCCCACTTAGTTGCTGAGGCTGGCTTTGAACTTGGGATCCTCCTGCCTCAGCCTCCTGAGCGGCTGGGATTACAGGCATGGGCCACCACTAAAAACCCTGAAGCAAAGAGAACAAAGGGTTGCATTAGATGTGGCTGGGAGCACAGGCACAGGGGTGTTTTAAGTTTGTTTTCTACACTTTTCTGAATGGTCAGACTACTTTGTCATTTGAAAAAATTCATTTACTAATTCCGTGAGCTGGTCACTTCACGAGTGCTGGGGTGGACCCCGGGGCTCACACTTGCTGGGCAAGCGCCTCCTGTGAGCTGCAGCCCAGCCCTATTTCATCATTCTAAAGAGTGCTCTTCCGAGCCTCCCCGAGTCCCTGTGGCCTGCTCCCTGCTGACCTCTTCCAGAAGGACCCGTCACCCGAGGGAGGGACAGTCTGCCTCCTCCTTCCTCTGCTTCCTGCTAGCACCCATTCCCCGAGCGCCCGCCCAGTGCTTGGCACTGGGACCGCAGTAGTGACTGAGACCGCCACAGCCCTGGCCTCCCAGGGCTCCAGTCCAGTGGGGAAACAGATCTGTCCCCAGACGGTGATGACGGGGGGGGGGGGGGGGGGGGGGGGGGGGGGGGGGGGGGGGGGG